CTAGCACTCTCATTTTTGACACTATCACCGTTAAATTTTGTGACTTTCGATGAATAATAATAAAAAGGATTTTTTGTTATTTTTTTATTTTTTTATCTATAGGGTAGGGTACAGGGTGGAAAAAGTCCGGTCTGTGAAAAAAAAATCTAAAATAGCCCATTACTTTTTTGTGACTGAAGCTACAGATCTAAAATGTGTCACATCTAAATATTTGTAAAAATTCAGGAACTTCTAAAGGAGAGGTTGGTGAAACTTTTCCCTTTTGTCTCAGTTCCAAGAATTTTATTTCTAGTTTTTCTTCTTCTTCCTTCAATCCCAGAATTATCTCCTGATTAACAAACTAAATTCAAAATAAGGAAAGAAAAAAAATGATTTTTTGATTTATTAGAAAAAGTTTTTTATTTCTTTTTGTCAAGAAACCTGAGGCCGAATTTAAAGAATTGAAGCCGCGGTTTAAATTTAAGTCGCCGCTCAAATATGGTTGGTTCCACTTAAATTTGTGTTAAATTTTCAAGATTTAAGCCGGCGGTCAATTAAAACCGGTTTTGGGGGGATTTAAGACGTGGCTTAATTTCATTAAATTCGGACACTGAGTACCTTTTTTGACAGAAAGGGTGAATGAAATTCAACATTAGTATTTTATGAATCTCGGGATTAAAGGGAGTGTTCGCGAAAAATGAAAGGGGGTATAGGCTTAGTGCGATAAAAAAGCGCTTTTGATCGCAACTAATCTTACTTCTATCTGTTGCGTCTATAATGAGAAAAGACGTTTCATACCGAATAACTTAGCGGCCATACAAATTGAGAAAATTGCAACTTACTACTTGGACCGTAAAAAATCAATTTAATTTCAAACAAATCATTTAGATATTACAACCTATAGTCATCGATTATCTTTCGTCACATTTGTATATAGTTTATATTTTATAATATTTTTTAATTAATTTGTTTGTTTCTCTTGTCGCTTGCGCAACTATCTAAGAATGCCGCACACCACTCGCAATTTTCGAAATCCGTTGAAAACGTTTTCTAAAAAAGTAAATAAGAAACAATGTTTTTTTTCGGAACAAATAATGTAGGTCTTTTCAATGCACTGGAAATCTACCAATTTATTTCAGACCAATAATTGTTTAAGGTTGAAACAGGAAAAGAAAATTTTTTTTGAGATAAAGAGGCATTTTCAAATTCGAGGACAGTCCCTTTAAATCCTCTGATCTGGGAATTAATCAATTCAAACGCTAATTAATTCCAAGTTTTGCCCTAAACTTGTTTTCTTTTGAAAAACCTTTTGAAAGCAAACATCATTAATTCACAAGACTTCTGTTTAAAATACAGGAAACTTCAAATCTTTTAAAGAGACTGCTCACGATTTTTCAAATCCGGGTTGGGACTTTATTGGCCAATTTTTTAGCTTTGGCATTTATTGAACAATTTAAGTTTGCCATAACATGATGTGATTGATTGATTTCTCTGAAACAAACTGAGTTAAAAACTGTGAATAGTCTGTTTAATATAGAAATTTGAATTAAAATCCTCTCGGTTTGAAACTAATCAAATTTCTCTAATCTTCTAAAATCAGATGAAAACATATTAGGCAAACAAAAAGGATTAGGGTTCAAAACAGGGTTCAAAACAGGGTTCAAAACAGGGTTCAAAATAGGGTTCTATAATATTTTTGTTACGATATTTAAAGAACCTATCTTTTAGTTCCTGATTTCGAAATGATATCATCAGGTAATTTGAAATTTTTAACGGAATATTATTGATATCTATCAATTTTTGTAACCCTTCGACTAGGCTAGTAATTCCAAATAAACTGTTTTAATAGGTTGTTTTCAAAGATATCTGGAATAAAATATCAAACTTTAATTTTGTTTGAAAAAAATCGAAAATTTTCTTGTGATTGTCAAACAACTAATAGTAAAAAAGTATGCAGTTGCTTTCTTGCCAGAGACTTAAATTTTCTTATCTGAATATTTTTGCAACCTAATAATGTACACCTTTGATATTTTAGACTACATAAAGTACATGTACGAGTCATCAGAAGAAAATTCTTTATAAAATATTTATAACCAAATTAAAAAATTAAAATCAAAAATAATAAATTGTAAAAAAACAGAAAGTACGAGACTGCAAACCATGCCAAGATTTGTAAATCAAGAACAGTCCCAACTTCTCCTGGAGCAACCAGTCTTTCAGTCCTAACACCCCTAAGATACCTGGAGCCCAGTCAGTCCCCACTCCTAGAGCAACCAATCTTTCAGTCCTAACACCCCCAGGATACCTGGAGCCCTGTCAGTACCCACTCCTGGAGCAACCAGTCTTTCAGTACCAACACCTCCAGGTTACTTGTAGCCCTGTCAGTCCCCACTCCTGGAGAAACCAGTATTTCAGTCCCAGCACCTCCAGGAAACCTGAAGCCTTGTCAGTCCCCACTACTAGAGCAACCAGTCTTTCAGTCCCAACTCCCCCAGGATATCTGGAGCCCTGTCAGTCCCCACTCCTAGAGCAACCAATATTTCAGTCCCAACTACCCCAGGATACCTGGAACCCTGTCAGTCCCCACTCCTAGAGCAACCAATATTTCAGTCCCAACTCCCCCAGGATATCTGGAGCCCTGTCAGTCCCCACTCCTGAAGCAACCACTAACCAGTCTTTCAGTCCCAATTCCCCTAGGATACCTGGAACCCTGTCAGTACCCACTCCTGGAGCAACCAGTATTTCAGTCCCCACACCTCCAGGATACCTGAAGCCTTGTCAGTCTTGGATTCGGACACAATGGTATCACATACAAGTTCCGCTCAAGGTTTCAGGATAAGATCAACAGAAGGAAACAGTGTTTAATATATAGGGGTACCATTAGATACAGACTTTACAGGGGATACGATATACAGTTTTCATTTAATTTCAAAGGGTTAAAAAGAATTGTAAAATTAGATTTTGTGGCAATAACTCAATTCCTTTGAATATTTTAAAAAAAAAATTTTAATTTTGATATCTTAACATTGCTGAACCAAAGTAGTGTAAATTTTTATATCGCAATGTGTAAAGTGTTAAACATTTAAGTTGGGATAAGAATAAATATTTAAAAACAAATTGTTGTTCAATTTCTTTTGTTTCATGATTTTTGGTGTATTTAAATTTTTTACAGATGTTTTTTTAAAATTTTCATGAATTGTCATATATTGAGCTTGGAATTTTCATTAAATTGTAAAATTATCAATTAATCTAAATACTTTTAGATAGATTAAAAGTTAATGATTGTAATTTAAAGTTAAATGAACATTAAATTCTACATAAATGGGACACAGAATTGTATCAGAAATGGAGAAAAACGTACAAACCTTTCTTTTTTCTTAAAACATATTTACGAAAACGTTAAAGAATTACCCTACTACTATATAGCTGCATTTAATCATATCCTCTGTAATATTTTCCTCCTTTAGTACTCAGTTTTTCGATGATATTAGTTTAGAAAAGCAATGCTCAAACTTTGAAATTTATTAAACTATTATTATGAATATATGTTTTTGCGAGAAATTTATAATTTTTGATGTTGTAAACATATCTGCAGTACAAATATTGTGATGAAATGGTTAAAACACACGACAAATCGGCTTTTTACAAAGACAAAAATATATATTTGTCCCTTTTATCATTTGATTATTGATTGGGAAAAAAATAATTTTTCTGTAACCTTCACTAGTATTTTTGTCAATGTCTTCATTGTATAACTTTTATAACTTTTTGTTTTATAAAAAATTTGTAATTTAACGTGTATTCTGGCTTGATGATAGAATTATTATTAAATTGCATGATATTTAGCTGTGTAAGATCAAAAAACGCACAACTCAGCGTTGAAACGGTTCAACGGAAGCAATAAGTTTCTAATAAGTTTCTGACATTGTTTATTATTTATATAAAAGATGAAAATATTTTAAGTAACTTCTGTATAAATTTATGTATCTATAGATCTTAATTATTGGATTTAATTACTTATATCTTAATCAATTCTGTCGTCTCTAATTTCATACATGTGTTATATAAAGCCAAATCAATTAGCAACGGTTAATATCTGATAGTTGAAAAAGGAAATTAAGAATTTGAAATGCATTTAGAGAGACACAAACTTTAGATCAAAATTATCAATATTTGGCCTTTTATTATACAATCTATTTATCTACAAGTTAATAGTCTAATGAAAGTTCTGACTCAAACATTTGACAATTCTGACGCTGACGACTTTGAAAGTTCTGACTCCATAAATTTAAAGTTCTAACTCAACCAATTAGAAGTTCGGACTCAATCAATTTCAAGTTCTTACTCCATTAATTTAAAGTTCTAACTCCATTAATTTAAAGTTCTAACTCAACCAACTAGAAGTTCGGACCCAATCAATTTAAAGTTCTTACTCCTTCAATTTAAAGTTCTAACTCCATTAATTTTAAAGTTCTAACTCCGTCAATTTAAAGTAACTCCATTAATTTAAAGTTTTGACTCAAACAATTTAAAGTTCATGACTCAAACAATTTAAAGGTCGGTTTCAAACAATTAGAAGTTCGGACTCAATCAATTTAAAGTTCTAACTCCATTATTTTAAAGTTCTAACTCCATCAATTTAAAGTTCTAATTCCATCAATTTAAAGTTCTGACTCCATCAATTTAAAGTTCTGACTCCATCAATTAGAAGTTCGGACTCAATCAATTAAAAGTTCTGACTCAATCAATTTAAAGTTCTAACTCCATCAATTAAAAGTTCTGACTCAATCAATTTAAAGTTCTAACTCCATCAATTTAAAGTTCTAACTCCATCAATTTAAAGTTCTAACTCCATCAATTTAAAGTTCTGACTCCATCAATTAGAAGTTCGGACTCCATCAATTCAAAGTTCTAACTCCATCAATTTAAAGTTCTTCGTTCACTAGGACAGACCCAACAAATAATAAAATAATCAAAATTGATTACAACTAAAGCTAAGGATGCTGGTTTAGTAGAGAGTTCTAGAATACTACCTTGTCAAGAGTGTACCAGGGAAATAAATTTAATCAAACAAAATTCTTAAATTATTTTCTTATTTTTTTATTCTTTTGCAAAAAGAACTTTGCACAGGGGTAACCAGAAAACAATTGAATGGGACGACGACATTATAGCAATACTTAAGTGTAATAGATAATGTTACAAAGCAAATAGTTTTACTAATTCTAGTTAAATGGGTCTGTTTACACTGCACAATTGAGGTGTTGATCTCGTGCTCAAAGTTAGAATTTGATTACTAAAGTCGTCTTACTATTCCAGAGTTTTCTGGTTATCCCTGTTTAACGAATCTATTATGAAAGGATAAAAATATGCAAAAAAGGTTAATTTAAATTAGAACTCAGATTTCAGAGATTGAAAATTAAATTTAGCAGCAGTTCAGGAAACATTACATCAGTTGATAACTTTCCTGACACGGAAAAACTTTTTTACGGTAATTGAACCAAGCAAACACGGCAATTGTCAAAATCCTTTTAACTGAAAATGATATTTATAAAGTGCAATGTCTGGTTCACAATAGTACCCTTTTTTGCAGCAGAGACGAGATGAAAGAATATTCCATTATAATTTGACATAATTTGATGGTTTATGAATCGATTGGGCTGAACTTTTATGTGGACACTCATTGTTGTTCGAGGGATGTCATAGAATAAATTAAAAAAAATTCTCCAAAATTTGTTTTCTTTTTCCACGGGCAACGCCGGACCCTTCAGCTTGTATAATAATACAGGGTGTCCCAATAAACATGGGAATTCAGTGACGAATTCGATATCGTCTTTTTAAATAATTCCTTGATTTAATAAAGTGATACCTACCGAGAAAGCTGTATTCTGTAAGAGTTTCGTCTGCTACGTTCACATTTTGTTTGTTAATGTTTTGACTGAATACGGTTGTACTTAGTAAAACAAGAAAATTGCAGTATACAAACAGAGTAAACTTGTCAGTCTTCACTGTTCATCTTGTGGGGACATTATAGACACATCTTTACAGTCTTTTACCCTTTTCATAAAATAAACTCTAGCAGACATAATAATATTATGGCTTTTTAAATTAGGTATTACAATGCTAATTCATAACAAAGACGATATCCAATTCGTCACTGAATTCCCATGTTTTTTGGGACACCCTGTATAATACAACCAAAATACTAAACTCTACTTGGTAATGTAATATTTAATAACTTTAGTGACATAGAAGACCGTAAAATACCTTGAATTCGTAAATGTTTGTATGGAAAAATTTAGAAAAGTGAATTTCGCTTTCAATTCCTCATTACTTGTATGTTTCTCTTTAATAATTTTATGTTTCATTTCTAATTGTCCCTTTAAATTTACTTTATGTTCATTGTAAAATTATAGTGCTTCACTTTAACAAGTTCAATGCTGAAATTCAATCTATATAATTGTATTCATCAATTGGACAATTTAAACGATAAATTAATAATAATTTAGTGTTTATATTGTACTTTAGACATCTTACCTTAAGAATGTCAATTTATGCCGATCAGAAGGATTTTGTATTAAAATATTAAAATATTCTTTATCAAATTATTCGTTTAAAGTGTATTTCATAAAATGAGCCTTAAACTGCTGATGACGAACATCTGATTTTAATTTTTAGCAATTTTCAAATACAAAATTTATATACAACTTATATACAATTTATAAAATGTCGTTTTCTTAACCCACTAACAATGGAATGCTGCAGATATTTAGTTTTTTGATTGATAAATCATCTGGAGCTCTTTAAACTGTTTTCGCATTTTTCATGGCTAATCATTTATTTTTACAATTACAATGTATTAGGCATGATAAAAAACCCCTTTGAAAAAAATTTCTCAAGACGACATTTTATAAATTCTTCCGATTTCTCCGATGTTTCGGATTTTGCATTTCTCAGAAAGAAGAAAGAACACTATCGTTCCATAGTTTTATGGTTAGTGGACCGCTATATTTCTGGAGAAAAATATTAAAGACTTTCTATCTGATAAAGTAAATTTAAACGTAATCTAAAACCACCTTCCTTTGAAAAAGAGCATGTCCGATGCACTATACTATGACTTTAAACCTTTTTCAAATAAACGTGGATAATATTTTTCTAGCTTGAAAGTGCTAAATTCTAATAATTTCTCCGTTGGTTTTCCTGCACGAGTCACTGTAATTGTAGAGAACCCACGAAAGAAAATAATTTGTTTTAAACATTATAAATATCACTATTTATTTCAACAGATACAGCTTTTAAGGATTTACCATTTTGAATCAGACAATACGGACATACCACTCAATAAATGAAGGGTCACTTAAAATTACGTTAACAGCTACATTCAGTTTGAAAATATAAATTTTATCCTAGATCATAAACATTTCCGGAATAAAGAAGACGACATGAACAAAGACGACATTTTTAACCCGAAGCCTGTCTTGCAAGCTCTGCCAGAAAATGATTCTGTAGAAAATGGTAACAAAACAATAATAATAACTCCCGTTTTCCAACACCCCCTGTGTTTTTTTTCAAAATAACTTTGAAACGGCTTACATTAGAACAACTTCTTCACTTTTTAAACACCATGTATGGCATGTAAATGTAACCAAATTTTGCCAAACATTTTTTTTGGGGGGGGATACATAGGGTTGGTAGTAGGACAGTCAAAAGGCGGGTCGGTTTTTCAAAAAATCAGAAATGCTTAATAATAACTGTTATTTAAGCTAAAGGGCTAAAATTTATAAACTTGAAAAACTCTTGAAAAATGTATGTAATATCATGTGTCTCATGTTTATATTTGTCAAAAAATAAAAATAATTATTTTTAAAAATTTTTCCGACATAATTTTTGAACTTGTAAAGTTGGACTAGGAAGATGTATAACACCCCACTGTCTTAACTCTAAGGGCAAAATCGTACAGGGGGTTTTTAAAACACGCCCCCCCCTCCCCTCCCCTTTATTAGACAAAAATAGCTCTGCCGTGATAGGGTTAAATAAACCATCGAAATAATTTTTAATTTTTTATTTAAAATTGTTGCATTACGGCCCAATTCACAACTCTTAAACCCTCCCTTTAGGCTAAAACTCCTTTTTTTTATCTAATAATTTATCATTTCTGCAGGTTGAGCTCCTTCACAAAAGAGACTTCCGGATTAGCTGAGGAAAAACAGGAAACATGACAGTTGGTGAATAGTTTGAAATGTCTTCTTTCATAATTAGTTAAGTTCTTTTCTCTTAAAATTGATTTCAAAGTAAAATATATTTGAGTAAACGATTTTGCTAACGATATACACTGCTTCTTCTATATATAATATTATATATAGAAGAAGCTATAACATTCAAAACCTTTCGCCAACTGTCATGTTTCATGGGACACCCTGTATATCCGAGCTAACCAAAGGTCCTGCAGTTTCGAATTTGATATAGAAGAAGCTATAAAATTCAAAACCTTTCGCCAACTGTCATGTTTCATGGGACACCCTGTATATCCGAGCTAACCAAAGGTCCTGCAGTTTCGAATTTGAGTGATAACACTACACTTGAATTCAGGTTTACAGTTTCTTTAGATTAATAGAATTTAATATTTTCCATTTAATTAGGATCAGTAAAAGTTGAGATAACGTACTGCAAGAATAACGATGAGTGCGTGGATACTAACATTAACACTAAATATCTGAAAAGGTAAACAATATCCTAGTTTACAATATCAGCTTGCAAAGATATTTTAGTGAAACTACAGTGGTCAGCATATATATCAATACAGGGTCGGTTACTGAAATAGTGATATGACACGATAGCAGTGACTGATACCACCCAATGTATTAATTCAGAAACTATATTGAAATATACGCCTCTGTTTTATATCACCATTTCAGTAAACGATTTTGTATTATATATTGTGACTACCATAAAAGTTTGAGAAATCAGATCCTTTGCTTTATGTATTTTTAAGATTTGTATAAAATTCTTGTGGTCTAAAAATGTTGTTTCAATTTCAAAGAATGGAAACAATTGTTAATTCCGATGGTTAATTGTTTTTCTTCAAAGATTCAAAGACACGAACATACTTTTTGAGCTGCAAAAAAAGCTAATTAAGTTTATTGAATTACAGAAGATTTAAGAGAAATTTGGATCCTGGACTATGTGAAATGGAAATTTTTCTCAATGTTTTCGAAGCAAATATGACCTTGTGCCTTCACTCTAGAAAATTTAAGGTCAGCAGATCCACCGAAACAAAATGGAAATAATTTTTTTATAGTTTTGAAAATTCTACACATGGCACATTTTTTTCAAATAAAGAAACTGAACACTTCTTACCACAAAGGAATTGAGTTTTTTGATTTCGAGTTTGTGACAAAGACTCAATTCATTTCAATTGCCAAATTCCAAATTATTTTGCTACTCTACTTGGGTCTTAAAATATTTGTAATAGCAAAAACTATTTTTTTGTAAAGATTTGGTTTTTTCAAATTATTTTGAAATTTGAATTTTAGACTGCTGATATTGTGAAGGATAAATACAATGGGATCAACGTTACAGTTTTTCAGGGTTGAACATTTGAGAGATATTTAAACATTTTTAGGGTTAAACATTTGAAAGATATATAGACATTTTTAGGGTTGAACATTTCGGAGATATATAGACATTTTCAGGGTTAAACATTTGAGAGATATATAGACATTTTCAGGGTTGAACATTTGAGAGATATATAGACATTTTCAGGGTTAAACATTTGAGAGATATACAGACATTTTCAAGGTTGAACATTTGAGAGATATATAGACATTTTCAAGGTTAAACATTTGAGAGATATATAGACATTTTCAGGGTTGAACATTTGAGAGATATATAGACATTTTTAGGGTTGAACATTTGAGAGATAAATAGACATTTTCAGGGTTGAACATTAGAGAGAGAGATATAGACATTTGAGAGATATAAAGACATTTGAGAGATATATAAACATTTGAAAGATATATAGACAATTTTAGTTTTTTTTATTTTATTTTCTATCTTTTGATTCTATTTCAATACTTATATTGTTGTTAATCTCATGAACGAAATAAAAAAAATCATTAGAATTATTTGGTTTAAGTAACCTTGGTTTTATCTCGGGATGAATACTACTCGATCTCAATAACGTACGACTATATAATCACTTATAAGCTTAAAACCTTTAAACACATCCTCCTTTAGTTTATGCAGAAATTCTCATTGATTTGAATAAAAAAGTTTCTATTAATCCTACAAAGTTCATTGTAGATCTTATATCTTCAACATTAAAAGATTTTTATTTTTATTTGAAAAGACATTTCGGAACTGTAGTTTATAAGTTTGCTTTTATTTAATTGTGAATTTTTTTTTTACAAAAAATAAAATTTAATAATTTAAAATCCTAAAATGAAATTTAATTTTCAACATAGTGTGAAGTTGAAATGAAATCCAACAAATATTTTAATCTACATTATACCAATTTTCTTCACAATACTAAATAATAACGCGATAAACACGAGACAATTAATTTATTGAATAATAATAATAATAAAATGAATAAAATGCTGTCAAGCTTCTAGCAAGAACCCTTGATAACATGGAGAAAAAAATTTAGTATCCCTTTATTATCATACAGTTGAGCCACATTAATCAATAAATAACATTCAAATTCGTCTTCAGTTGTCTTTAACATGGGTCATGTGGGGTGTCTGTCTGTTTGTCCGTCTGTATCCAATAAACGTTAAAACGGCCGAACCGATCAAGACCATATTTTGTATGGATGAAAGATGACCGGGGGGGCAAAGCATATCACTTTATAAGGTCGCAATTATCAAATCAAATATATATATTTGTCCCAAGCCAAAAACATAGAAAATATCATATTTTAAAACATATTTATAAACTTGAGACGGGGAGGCATTGATAGCCAGGGGCTGTTTAACACGCAGCCTCCCACTGGAGAGTCAGTTTTTGCAATGATGCTGACTTGAAGAAGAGGTGCTGCTGGATGTCATGCTGCTCATGGGATGGAGGGAGCTGGAGCCACTGGAGAGGATACAGTTCATAAACGTACAGGAATCCGTCAAGGAGAGGTCGGATACCTTCATTCTCGGGGTGGAACACATAAAAATAAATGAGAGTTAAAGGGAGGAGCAAGAATTACAAAATAGTTTTTCACATTGAAAATCTTTAAGATTATCGAGAAGTTTGGCTTTTAACGATTGTTTAAAAATGGATTTTTGAGCTATTTCTTTAAATTCAGACGAAAGAAAATTCCATGCAGTGGGAAATGAGTAAAAAGGAAATCGTCTAAGAAATTCTGTTCTTACTCCCGGCACATAAAAGTCATTTAAATTTCTCATAAAATAAAGGTTTCCATAAAGTGAAGCATTTCTTACAAATAATTCATCAAAAGAACTAGGCAATAGAGAATGATTGAACAAATGCATAAATTGAAGTTTTTGCTGTAAGATCAGCTCAGGTAAAGGTAAAATACCTGTGCTATAAAATAAAGGCTGTGTATGAGAGCATTATATTTAGACTTGGTTATCAATCGAATAGCAAATTTTTGTTTCTTAAATAAAAGATTTACATTTTTCTGGCTAGTACAAGATATAATTGGTAAACAATACAAGAAATGAGGATGAATTAAAGCATAGTAAAGATATTTAAGGGCTGATGAAGTCAATATATGTTTAGCATTTTTTAATGAGAACAAAGACTTTGAAACTTTTGATGTAATAGATTTAAAATGGAAGTCAAAAGTCAAATTCTCATCAAGATAAACACCGAGGATTTTAAATGCTGGAACTTTCGATTTATTAGTAATTCTTTCAATAGGAAATACAAGAGAAGGGTTAGAAAGAGTATCAGAATCATTGTTATCAAATTTGAAGACGACATCAGGAACATGCTTTCCTTTGGAGTGAAATATCATAATTTTAGACCGCTTATGCTCAATTATGATATTTTTTGACTCATACATTTCTAAAAATGTTTATTATGATGAAGGAAGAAAATGCATCAGTAGAAATACCACTCAGGTCAAAAACTTAATTCTTAAAAGTTTGAAAAGTTAGGAATTTTTTTATTTTATAATTTTTTAGTACTCTTGAACTTGAGTATATTGTAGGGTATGTCAGAGAGGAACCATACAGGTAGGATGTATGTATATAGATATATATGTTCATGTATATTTTGTATATTCACAGAAATTTGATTTTGAAGAGCTGTTAAAATTTAAAACTTTCATTTCATGTTTTGTTAAAAAGACATTTTCAAATTCAAATTTTTAATGATGCGTTTGGCCTGAGGTTGCTTTATAAAAAAACGACTTTCATATCTGAATTTAGAAAATTGCTGATAACAAGGTTTTACAGAAACTTTTTTGAGAAATTTAACTGTTTTTTAGCGCTTTATAGACGATTTTGAATAGTGTTTTTTGTTGCTATATTTTGCATTAAACCTCGATGGCCGGTTGGCTAAATTCCATTTGTTTTTAGTTCTATTGATGGTTACCTAATAGAACATCATTTCTATGGAGTTATCTACGTACAGGTGATTATAGATTATGATTAGAAAATAAAAAGTATATATGGTGCCCCACAAAACATGACAGTAGCAAGACAACTTGAAGGTCGTCTTTAAACTTTGTGTTACTTTGCGACAGGTGTTAACATAATCTTAAAAGTAGACTTCTTAAATTTTAGAGTTTATAAATTTCCATGTCGTGGTTCACCGTTTGTGTGCTTTCAATATTACCGGAGACCCCTCTGTTTTTTTCCCTAGTACCACCACTTCCATTATTACATTTTCACATGGCTTAGTATTTTACATTATTTTTTATCAAAAATATAAACTTTGTGAAGAAACAATCTCAAGAACTGACGAGGGTCAACCCAGACCGAAATATATTTTCAATAAATTTGGAACTAACGTCTACTTTTTTACTACTACTACTTTTTAACCCGAAAAAGCCATAATTTTAATGATTTTGTAAAAATAGGAGAAAACCCAATAGCAATATTTAATAAACAAATTACCAAATTTTTATCATGATTGTAAGAAAATTCATTAATTCATTTATGTTTCAGAAAGCTCTATCTCTAAATCTGACCATAGGAGAAACTGAAATGTGCATTTTCATATATTTTTCTATGCGCACAGAACTACATAACCTACAAATCAAGCCAATATTTTGCTTTGTATTTTTCTTCTTGAATGTAGATGTAAGATTTTGTTCTCAATGTGAATTAAATGATAATTGGTGAAGTAACAATTAAGAATGATTGGACTTTTTGTAAAATTTTATAAATCTAAAAGACCTAATTTTTATGTAGTGTGCGAATAGAAATCTTTTGTAAAAAAATTATTTCGGTTCAATATTCATTACAAAGGAATTGAGTTTTTGTCACAAACTCTTTGCATTTCAATGTCAGAGACCTTAGATATTTCAAATTATGAATTATTTTAGATCAAATAATAGTAGTTTGAAATATCAAAAGTTAACACCATCAGGTTGCAAAGATATAGCGATTTTAAAATCAGAAATTGTGGCTAAACTCAGTTCCTTTGACAAAAACGTTTTACAGCATTTTTATAATGAATTTTGGCTATTGAAATAGACAATGAACTGGCTTTATTCATAAATTATCAATAAATAGATTTAAATGTTAATTTATTAGTTATACTATTAATACTTTTTAGGACCATGTTCACTACTTGGAGTCCAGCTTGAAGAAGTCAATAGACCTCCATGTTTATCTAGAAGGACTTAAATCCTTCATCCCAGCAGGACTTATAAATCAAACTAAGGTCTAGAGTATATTATTGGAGATTATTATTTCGTTTTTCAATTCTATTCTTTTAAATAAGATTTATTTAGAATTCCTCTTGTCAGCCCAAAGTATGTGAGTTAACGTTAGTTGCAGATCATTTCTTCTATGACGAGGTGAGACTATAGTTAGTTTATTGTACAGAGTTAGCAGGATATACAGACCATAGTTAGTTTTTTCTACAGAGTAAGCATGATATACAGACCATAGTTAGTTTATTGTACAGAGTTAGCAGAATATACAGACCAAAGTTAGTTTATTGTATAAGAGTCAATAGGATATACAGACCATAGTTAGTTTATTGTACAGAGTTAGCAGAATATACAGACCAAAGTTAGTTTATTGTATAAGAGTCAATAGGATATACAGACCATAGTTAGTTTATTGTATAAGAGTCAGTAGGATATACAGACCATAGTTAGTTTATTGTATAAGAGTCAGTAGGATATACAGACCATAGTTAGTTTATTGTACAGAGTTAGTAGAATATACAGACCAAAGTTAGTTTATTGTATAAGAGTCAATAGGATATACAGACCATAGTTAGTTTATTGTATAAGAGTCAGTAGGATATACGGACGATAGTTAGTTTATTGTATAAGAGTCAGAAGAATATACAGGCCATAGTTAGTTATTGTATAAGAGTCAGTAGGATATAGAGACCATAGTTAGTTTATTGTATAAGAGTCAGTAGGATATACAGACCATAGTTAGTTTATTGTATAAGAGTCAGTAGGATATAGAGACCATAGTTAGTTTATTGTATAAGAGTCAGTAGGATATACGGACGATAGTTAGTTTATTGTATAAGAGTCAGTAGGATATACAGGCCATAGTTAGTTTATTGTAAAAGAGTCAGTAGGATATACGGACGATAGTTAGTTTATTGTATAAGAGTCAGTAGGATATACATACCATTGTTGGTTTATTTAATTTAAGTAATCAAGATACACAGACCATATTTTTTATTTTAATTTTTGGATTACTAAAAAATACAAGAATATCATGATTGTATTAGTTTTTGAAGTCTAGAAATTAAATAAAAAAATTGAAGAATTTTAATATTTTCTTTAAAACTTTTCAAATAATAATTTCAGGTTGGTAAAAGTTCCCTTCATAATACTGTTATGCTTATGCTGTGGCATGCAAAGGAAGCAAACAGGTTGGTTTATATAGGTCTAGGTCTAGGTCTAGGTCTAGGTCTAGGTCTAGGTCTAGGTCTAGGTCTAGGTCTAGGTCTAGGTCTAGGTCTAGGTCTAGGTCTAGGTCTAGCTCTAGGTCTAGGTCTAGGTCTAGGTCTAGGTATAAGTATAGGTCTAGGTCTAGGTCTAGGTCTAGGTATAAGTATAGGTCTAGGTCTAGGTCTAGGTCTAGGCCTAGCTCTAGGTCTAGGTATTTTTTTTATTTTTACAAATTCCACAAAAATACTAAAAGTTAAATAACGTTTTTTTTCATTTTATTAGATTTTTCACAATGGCTGATTTTGATTCTGACGGTTATAGTGATTGCTTTGGGTAAAATTATTTTAAAAATTATAAAATACTAGGCGTCAGGGCCCTCCGCGCCCATCTTCTATTTCAATTGTGGACATTTTCCCTTTGTAATGAATATATAACAATAAAAAGAATGTTCATGGATGTTATTAAAAATGTGGTGGATTTTAAAAATTTAATTAAATTCGAATTTTGTTGGAGGCTAATTAGGGAGTTTTTTTATCATCCATGAAACTTCCCTTTGGTTATTTGGGCCCGATCCGTTCAAATTCAAATGATGTTTAAATTGGATACAAACAAAGACTAGTAAAGTAAATAAATAGATTTTTTTAAAGTAAAAAAACTACGCCGGATAATTTTCAAAAATAAATATTTTTACTTCTGACAAATATTAACATGTGACACTTGTTATTATACATCTGTTTTTAAAGTTTTTTAAATATATAATTTTTAGCCTTGTAGCTAAATTAATAAAAAAGTTTGACTGTTCTAAAAAAATTAATTTATCTTAAAAATTTTATTTGTTTTAAAAATCAATCAGCAAACATAAGATAAAGAATAAACAAATAATGCCATAGCATATGTAAAGCAATGTAAAATTTGACATAAAAAACTATGTCAACATAGAAGTATCGGATTTTAAATAATTTTAGCAACATTTTTTCACAACTATGAAGTTAAAAAGTGAAGAAAGTTCGGCGTTCTAATGTCAGCCGTTTTTAATTTCTACTGAAGTCTCATTAGTGTGTTCTTTGTTCAGAATAACTGTGGGAGAACTTACAGTGTTTACTACCAAGGTAAATATAAAATGCATTTTTTTCAAATATTCTCATTTTTTTTATGAATTTACAATTAGAATAATTCTAGCGATAGATGTACCTGATCTAAGATTGGCCAGAGAAATTTCAGTCAATCTTGAAAGCTATTTATTTTTAAACCATTTGTTGGATTTGGATTTCAAAAGGATTTAAGAATTTCAGAATAATAGACTTCGATTGAACTTGTGTAATCAAGAACAATTTTTTTGGAATAGCTCGATATATTTTTTTTTAAGTAATTGAACAAATCTTGCCACTATGAGAGCACATTTTTTTGTAGAAGAAAAACACACTTTTCTAACGAATACTGACACAGTTTCTGTCATAATTGAGATAAATACGAAAAAACGTTAAAAGTGTTTTTTTTAGAATTCAACAGCTAATCTACTGAATGAAAACTATTCACAACCTGAAGACTTTCTCAAAAGATTTTCTAGGTATACCAAAAATAAAATATCGGGACCAAACTTATAACTCAGCTCATCAGATTTTTTTTTTAAGAAATAACTTTTTTGACTTAAATTTTTACAGGGTTACTCATAAACAGTGAGACTTGAAGACTTGTTACCTTAAACAAAAATGTTTAATCTGTTCATCTGCCTTGAAGAAAGTTTTTATATTATTTCAATTTATTAATTAACTGGGAAGGTGGATTGTAAGCGTAATTTCTAATGACCTTTAATGCAAAGATGGCAATTCCTGATCAAGATTACTCTTAAAAGTCTTATTTGATTAAGTATGAATAAAATGTCAATGGTTGTAAATTTGAGAATACTTTTTAAACCTAGAAAAATCTTCCTCATCAATAGGGGGCAGCAGAGAGGACCAATTATACTTGACGTCACAAGTGTCAAATATAAAAAATTTGCTCACATTAGTTGACATATTTTCCGAGATTATATACAAAGTGTAAAAAAAGAAAAAAAGAACACATACAACTGCATTTATTTCACTGTTATATAAGCATTAAAATTATCACTATTATTTATAATTTTGTCGGAAAATAAAACTGAGTTGACACTTGTGACGTCAGAATACAGTTCTACTCAAATTCTACGTTACCATCTATTGTACAAGAATCCATTTGAATGTTTCTAATCCTGTTTAGATACAACTTTGACGGGTACTGTCTTGGAGCTTTGTTCACAAGTAGATCATTTGTTGATTTAGTTTTAGGTAAAAATACTTAATTTGATTGCATAATAAAGAATGAATAAAAATTACAAGAATAGAGGGTGTGTCCATGTCTATTTGTTAATGAGAAAAGAGGGTGTGTCCATGTCTATTTGTTAATGAGAAAAGAGGATGTGTCCATGTCTATTTTTTAATGCTGACAGAGAAAAGCGCGAAAAAAGTATCAAGATAGTTAGAAACACCCACTTTGAAAAGATATTCCTGAAAAAAACTGCTAATTTTCTTTACAATTTACTTTTTCTTCCTCCTAATTAAGGCGTGCTCTCCCTGTAATATAAATAGTTTGAATATTTCTTTAATTATAGCACTCTACCTTTTATAAGGTTTGAATATTTCTTCAATTATAGCACTTTACCTTTTATAAAGTTTGAATATTTCTTCAAATATAGCACTCTACCATTTATACAGTTTGATTATTTCTTTAATTATAGCACTCTACCTTTTATAAAGTTTGAATATTTCTTCAACTATAGCACTTTACCTTTCATAAAGTTTGAATATTTCTTCAAATATAGCACTCTACCATTTATACAGTTTGAATATTTCTTTAATTACAGCACTCTACCTTTTATAAAGTTTTAATATTTCTTTAATTTTAGCACTCTACCTCTTATAAAGTTTTAATATATATTCTTATAGTTTGAAAATTTCTTTAATTATAGCGAACTCTTCCTTTTATACAGTTTTAATATTTCTTTGACTATAGTGAACTCTCTCTTTAATATTGTTTTAATATTTCTTTAATTATAGCGAACTATCTCTTTTAACTATTCTAGGATTGGCATGGAGGGGGACATTAGTCCCCGATGGGGTGGGAGGAGCCTGTCAAAGGAAACAAATAAAATCTTTTAAATTAAAAACATCATTTATTACATTGATGATACAATTAAACACTTTATCAACTCTAATAGCTCAGGGAACTAATGTCTCCTGTAGATTGGAACTAATGTCTCCTGTAGATTGAAAGGCCTGCTTTATTTTGAAACTGAACTTGTTCTATAAAAGTCAACCCACTCAATTTGAAAATATTAAACAAAGCTAAGCTAGGTAAGTATAGTTTCCAGCTCTATCACCATTTTCTTTCTATTTTAAGCATTTTTTCCTAAAAAGATATAATATCTTTAATATGTAGAAAACTAGGTTATTTTCTTAACAATTTTAGTTCTTAAAGTGGCAATTAGGTTTATAATGTATTTTGAGATTTTAGTCGAGTTCGAATAACTTCCGATGTAAATCCCTATAGTTTCAATGCACTGTTTGTCAGCTTGAAAAGTAAACAGGACCAGGTACTAAAGAGATTATCAGCGAAATTTGATGTAAACCTTTATTTTAAGATGGCCATCCACGATTCACAACAGAACCCTTTAAACCATGATGTAATGTGGAAGAAAACGCCATCTTGTTTTTTCTTAATTTTTTTCAAATAATCAAAAATGGGCTATTGTCCTTTTTGCAGGGAAACCACAAAGAAAAAAAAATTGAACAAAAATGTTCTAATTAATCTAAATAATACTTTAGAAGACAAAGGTTTTAAGGTTGCACTTGAAATTACCTTTACTGTCCCTCTTGCAATAAGTGTTGTTTTTTGCTTCTAGAAATATGGCTTGGAATTTAAATACCTGAATCAATTTGACATTTTTACTTGGTTTGTGCTGCACCACAAATCCTTAAGTCACTTTTGATGAGAAACTACAATTGAAAATAATCATTTTTCAAATCGTAAAAATGGATATCTTATTCATTCTTTAAGATACAAAGGTTAGAAGGTTACCGGTGTGAATCATAAATGGCACTCTACAGGGAAATAGAAAGACAACTTTTAGAATCAAGTTATGACTTTAAAGAATCCCATGTGCATCGGACACTTATTCAGTGATTCGTTAAGTGTCCAGTAAAACTATTGGCTTTGTAACAACATCAAATACACTTATGTATTGCTATAAAGTCGTCTTCCTATTCTGTATGATTGTTGGATCACTTGAAATTACGTCAACGGTCTATTTAATTTAATGTCCTCTACAAATTATTAAAATTGCGACACATTTAACACCAAAAGTGGATGTTTTAAACATATATCGTATTAAGCCAAGTTTTGCACTTATAATTTCTTTCTTTCTTCTGCCAATCATTTGTTGGCCCGACTTTTAAAACTTATACTCAACAATTCTTATTTCATTTTTTTAGAGGATTCCGATAAGAATGGGAGTTTTAAACTTTGTGCACGAAATTCTGCATAGTCTTGGGTAAGTAGAATGAGATTGCATGGTTAACCTTATTCCGACTAACGACTGGTTTTCCCAAAAAAAACTTGACCCCCCCCCCTGTATATTTTCTTATTGGGATACAAGTTTATAACATTTGATACGTTTTTGAAAGCCTTGTACTCTACTTCAAAAATCTGCCAAAAAATTGCTATTTTGCAAAAATCATAATTTTTATTTCAAAATCTTATTATTTAGTAAATGTGCAAAATTTGACAAATTATTCATTTTTTAAAGCAACTGAACCAGCGAATTTAAAATGGCCAAAAGATGCACAGCGAAAAATTGCTGTTTCTCATGCTCAACTGACGTTTCTAAAGTTTTAACTTAATTATAAAAATTTGGCGAAAAAATGCAAAAAATACCGAATTTAAAAACAAATGCAAAATGCGAAATTTTGCAACATTTTTTTCGCATTTCAGGGAAATTTTCCTTTGCTTTCTCTTCATTCATTTTTGTGAAAAATGCGAAATTTCGCTTAAAAGTTTGTGAAATACAACCCAAATTTTGGATTTTTTTCGCATTTTTTTCGCGAAATGTTTTGTTTCCCAGTTTCCAACATGATTGCTTTTTTACTATAACGCGAATCTACGCACAGTTAGACAAAATTATTTTCATTTCACGTAATTTTGTGGAATTATGCGTAATTAGCAAAACCTCATTTTGCGAAATTACGGCGTAATTTTGCCTAATTTCTAAATAGTAATTTCGCAAAATTTTGTAATAATTTCATGTAATTAGCGTAACTTAAATTTCGTGAAATTACAGCAAAATTTTGTGTAATTTCTACTAAGTAAGTATTTTCGGGAAATTTTGCAAATTAGCGAAACTTTCATTTCTCAAAATTACGGCGTAATTTTGTGTATTTTCTTTGTAAGTAATTTCGCGAAATTTTACAATAATTACACGTAATTGGCAAAACTTTAATTTTGAAAATTTTCGACAAAAATTTGCGAAATTTTTCGATTATTGTGCTTTATTTGAAAATTTTTTAAATTCGCTTTATTTTGTAAAATTTTGAAGCATTAACTTCTAAATTTAAATTAGAAAAACTAACTTACTTAGGAAAGTAATGAAGCTCAGGTTAATCAGAACTTTCAGCCAATACATTATTCATGTAATTTTCACTTTTTAGGTTTGACAATCAAATTAAAGTTTAACAATGGGCCAAAACTTTATTTTTATAATCAAATTAAACACATAATCTATAAATTTTCTTCAATATCTAATAACTCGTTAATATATCAACCTACTTTCTTAAGTTTAACTTCCCTGTTTCAACATTTTTTAAAATAAAATTGTCAAAATATGTCCCAAAATAATTAGAAGGGAGAAAGCTAAAAAAAGCCATGTTTAAGTAGATTATTTTAATTAAAAATACTTGTAATAAAAATCAGTCAATCCTTTAAATAAATCGCTAATTGCATTTCTGAGAATTAATATGTATTTTACTAATTAGTAATTTCAGAATGTTTACTTAATTTCGCGTATGTACGCCTTAATTACACGAAATTACGTATCTGTCATTACCAGGTAATTTCGCATAATGCGTGAGTAAAAGAAAATGGTTACACTAATTTCACGTAATTACGCGTTTTTTAGTGCTAAACATGATCCTGAACCAGCTGAGAGAGAAGACTGTACTCCACTAGACAAGCATTTTAATGGAAGATTTCTAATGTCTAAGGTAGGAGATGTCTTCTATTGTATAATTACAGTTGTCATCACATGGGATTTTTTGTCTTTTTCCAATCAAATTGTTGTTAAAATTTAGAATAAAGTTTCGTAACTAAAAAGTATACATCAAAGGCTTTTCAAAACGTCTGTCCTTAATTGCTGTTGGTCTAAATCCTTTTTTTTACCACCAAAAGCCTGATTTCAGTTTTTTTAATCTTTTTTAAATTATTTTTTTTTGGAAAAAATTGTAAGAAACTCCAATATATGTCAATGACGGTCATAAACTAATTCATTTTTATTCTTCAATAACTGACATACAAGTGTGTGTTTGCTTTCCAAAAACGGGCATAAAGTGTTTTTGTTTAGTTCTCCAATGACGGGCATAAACTGAACCATGCAATAATGTCACCATGCACTAAGGTACTCCTATCTTATATCATCTTGATATTTTACTATTTTACTAATAGTTTTTAATCCCCAGTAGTGTAAGTAATGTTGTGGGTCCCACTCATTGCAGATTTTGATAAGCTACATTTGTTACAGAAAACATATTTTGTAAACTCTACACCGGGTAGTCCAGACTGGAATCCAGAGTGATTGTAGTTCTTGAGGGTGGTAAAATGTAGATAATTGAATATTTTTGTAGATACTTAGATAGACATTTAATATGGATTGTAAACACGGATTGTATACTACAGTACATTCAAGTTAAGTTGTTTGTTTAAGTTAATAAAAGTATGACTAAATATTGCATGGTAAAAAGGTGCATAAACAATTCTTCTTGTAAAAATGTGAGTTTTTTCAAAATACAAAAACATTGTGCATGGCTAGACCTTTTAAGGTTGGGAGACTCCACCACATATCCCTCAAGTTGTATTTGCTCAAACCATTTAATAAAGGAGATATTAGTCAAGGAAAAAGGCCAAGTTTAAAGATAAATTCAACACCATAGCTTTCAACTTTGGGTGAGTATAAAAATGAATTTACAGTATTGTTTAATTTATAATGTTTTATTTAATATTTAACATAAATTTTAAAAAGGAGTCGCAATTAGAGATGCTTCATTTGTTAAATACCCATCCAGTTGAGTTTTTTTTTCAGTTGAAATTTGAATTTGTTCGTTCACAGAAAGAAAATTTAAAATTTTTCAATTCCATAAAACCCCCCTTAGAAATACGATCACTCTATATACAAGTGTACAGTGTTAGATACGTAAACATATTGTGATGTACACAACCGACCTCTTTATTAATTAATTAAAAGGGAGGTCAGTTCTTTACCTCTTCGCTTCCTTTCTCTATGGAATGCATATATGTAGTAAATACCCTACTCTCCAGAATGGTTTCTCTAACCAGTATCTATCCTGATACAATCTAGTTTCACTAATTCTATCAATGCCTTAACTAGGACATGATCTTGAGCTATCAATGCCCCGAAAAGGACACGATCTTGTAAACTATCAATGTCTCAACTAAAACACAATCTTTATGACTACTTTGGCATGGACTATCAATGTCTTAACTAGGACACAATCTTCACAACTACTTTGGCGTTGACTATCAATGTCTTAACTAGGACAAAATCTGCATGACTACTTTGGCGTGGACTATCAATGTCTCAACTAAGACAAAATCTTCATGACTACTTTGGCGTGGACTATCAATGTCTCAACAAGGAAACAATCTTCATGACTACTTTGGCGTGGACTATCAATGCCTTAACTAGGACACAATCTTCATGACTACTTTGGCATGGACTATCAATGACTTAACTAGGACACAATCTTCAGGATTACTTTGGCGTGGACTATCAATGTCTCAACTAAGACACAATCTTCATGACTAATTTGGCATGGACTATCAATGTCTTAACTAGGACACAATCTTCATGACTACTTTGGCGTGGACTATCAATGTCTCAACTAAGACATAATCTTCACGACTACTTTGGCGTAGACTATCAATGTCTTAACTAGGACACAATCTTCATGACTACTTTGGCGTGGACTATCAATGTCTTAACTAGGACACAATATTCATGACTACTTTGGCATGGACTATCAATGACTTAACTAAGACACAATCTTCATCACTACTTTGGCATGGACTATCAATGTCTTAACTAGGACACAATCTTCATGACTACTTTGGCGTGGACTATCAATGTCTCAACTAAGACACAATCTTCATGACTACTTTGGCATGGACTATCAATGTCTCAACTAAGACACAATCTTCACGACTACTTTGGCGTAGACTATCAATGTCTTAACTAGTACACAATCTTCATGACTACTTTGGCATGGACTATCAATGTCTTAACTAGGACACAATCTTGTAAACTATAAATATCTTAACTAAGACACAATCCTCAAGACTGCTTTGGCTTGAAATTTAAATGTCTCAACTAGGACACAATCTTCATGACTAGATACTATTCTGTTTATAAATAATCTTGATTCAGGAATCTGTAAATGCGGTATTGAAAAACTCCACTAAACTAACTTGTTTGCAGTTCCCAATGGGTAAATGCACAATACTAATTTGATCATTGTTATTGTGAACCTCATTTTTATGAATTGTTCAGTATTTTAAAATAATTGAATTATAGAGTTAATCAATTGAAATGTTCAAATGTTGAAAAAACTAAGTGGAAAGAATAGAACCAAACAAAAGTTTGAAATACTAAATGTCTATGATATCAGGTTCCACAAACAGAAGGATAAAAAATAGCACTTGATGCAAGTATTCAGTTTCTTTGTGTTTACAATTATTTTTTTTAGTCCCTCTGTGTTTACAATTATTGTTTGTTTAGTTCCTTTGTGTTTACAATTATTGTTTGTTTATTTTTTTGTGTTTGCAATTATTGTTTTTAAGTTCCTTTGTGTTTACAATAATTGTTTGTTTAGTTCCTATGTGTTTACAATTATTGGTTGTTTATTCCTTTGTGTTTCCAATTATTGTTTCTTTAGTTCCTTTGAGTTTACAATTATTATTTGTTTTGTTCCTTTGTGTTTACAACTATTTTTTTAGTTCCTTTGTATTTACAATTTTTGTTTGTTTTGTTTTTTTGTGTTTACAATAATTGGTTGTTTAGTTCCTTTGTGTTTATAATTATTGTTTGTTTAGTTTTCTTGTGTTCACAAATAATGTTTGTTTAGTTGAGTGTTCACAAATAATGTTTGTTTAGTTGAGTGTTCACAAATAATGTTTGTTTAGTTTTCTTGTGTTCGCAAATAATGTTCCTTTAGTTGAGAATGTTTGTGGAAACGGATTCCTAGAAAAAGGAGAGGAATGTGACTGTGGAACTGTCTTCATGTGCACAGCTACAAAGTAATTTACAAACCTTATTTGTACAGTTATACAGTAATGCACAGTTATGTACACTTTTCATGTATACAGCTTCAAAGTAATGTAAAGACCTTATGTAATATAAATTGGACATTGAAAATCCTAAAAGATTGCTTTTAATTTTGTTGAATGAAAATCAATAAATATTATAGGTTCTTAATCAGATTTTAATTTATATTATATTTCCCTGTAGATCATGTTGCTCTGGACCCGAAGGATACGGCTCAACACCCCCCTGTGCCAAGAGGTACACACAACTTTTATTTCCGCCCTGACAATGTGACTCCAATTTTTAACATTAAATCTTTGTTTCAAATCCTACATAATTTTTCACAACCCATTCTTTCCCACTGACCTTTTGATACAAAAAAGATGTTTTGAACTATTGATATGTAATTAAACAAGAGGAGTTTTGATGCTGCAAAGCCCAATTAGTAATTTGAAATTTCAGGTTTTCATCGTTTGTTTAAGAATAATTTCGAAAAATTTCGTTCATTTGAAAGTTTTGTATTGTGTATGAAAATGCCCTCCTCTAGATGCTTCTATCTCCAGTTCAAAAGTAGTAACCGCAAATAGATTGTTGGTAATTCCGGTAAAATTACGATGTTTGCGGAATAGTATGTATGTTCAAACAACTTTCAATATTTTTTGTTTTTTTTAGAAATTTCCTGAAAGAGTGTGCATCCTGAAACTGGAAACCCAAAATATATGACAAAGAAATACTATTTTTTAACTAGATTCATGAATCAATTTTTCAACTAGATGCAATTGACAGCCTAATTATATTTGTTTTTGTCACATTATTTAAAAAGATGCAATACTAAACACGCATGTATGTGTTGTCAATATGTGAATAAAAATGTGAATGTGCAATAATGTTTTTACGTTATTTTCACACAAAAAAAAACTTAAGTATCGATTTGTTGTCTATTCTTAAATATAAAGAGATTGAAACACACTGATTCTTGTTCTCTTATAGTATGTTTGTATATGCATTATACTATCCGAAGACCGTACTGCCACAGAATTTCTTGAGTTTTTTAGGCTTAGGATTTACAACCCTGGTTGATCAAAAACTTCAGCTCCTTGATACTTCTGCAGACCCACATCCTTTGTACCAGCGACAAATACCTAGCTATCTCAAATAAACCAATTATTCCAGGATAATTCAAATTTAAAAATTTAAATCTCAGTTAAATTATCCTAAAATGGCCATCCTAGAGTTTCTCGAGAAAAAATTAACAACAAAAATTAACAATTTTATCCTGTTGAATATTGGCTTTCCTTGTTAAAGTTGTTTTTTTTTTCATAAAAACTCTAAACTAGTAAAGATTATAAATAATTTTAAATCACTAAATAATATTAGAAACCTTGCAAAAAGTTGAATAATACGAAAAACTGTAATCTTTTGTAAAACTTTGAGAGGGCGGACCGGCCTCCTTTAAGAGTATGTTGTTGTCACAAAACAAAAACAAGAAAAGCTGGACATTTCAGAAAATGCATGCCTGACATGAATTATGTATGTCACCCATTTTCTGAAATCAGTGTTTTTCAATCTCTTCCACAGATAAAGATGAAAAAGCTGTATTAAGATTATACTGCATTAAGATGGAAAAAAAGTGAAACATGAATTACAGGGGATTTGAGGACTGGATCTGGGACTAACAGATTTGTCAAGTCTCTTGACACACGGCACTAGACTTAGGCCCCATTTAGTATAAGGCGGCTTTGCTGGACTCTGACCCTCGAGTTCTGGAATCTCAGACTATAAACTCTGGCCCCACATCGTTATCTTCCTGACCTTTCCTTCCCAAAGCAGAGGAGTTGATGCCACTTTCTATGAGGCTTTGTCTCAACTAAAGATATTGTTTGTTAAGTCTCCTTTTATATCCTGTGAGCTAGTGTAAGTGCTGTCAGCCTTTAGGGTCCCAGATAAAGTTTACTGCCATTAAATAATCAACTACAATAGGTGACAACAGGGAAGAGAACCATTTATACAAGTTTCATATATTCATAAAACAAAATTTTCTCATATTTGTTGTCATGCTTTCCAAGATTAAATAAAAAGTGTAAAAACAGAAAATAAAGAACACATGATATTGCACTTATTTTACCGTAAGATAAGAACTTTACTGATATTCTAAAATCATCACTATTATTAATAATTTTGTCGGACACAAAGCTGAATTGACACTTGTGACGTTAGAATAAAGCTGTACTGAGAGTACAAATTCTACATTGCCATCTATTGTACTAGAATATATATTTATGCTATGAAAACATCTCAACACAGAAACGGACCCAAAAGTGAGTTTGGGTTCGTTTCCTTCTTTTTTCAAGAATTATCAGAAATCCCTCAAAAACTGAAAAGTTTTAGGGATTTCCAAATATTTTGGATCTATTTCCGCTATATTTACATTTGATTTGTTTCCCTTTTTTTGGGGGTATGTTTCCTCTTTTTTGGGGTCAGTTTTTGGTTTTCAAAAAAGTTTTAAATCCTCAGTTTGTTGATCGGTTTTGTCTTTTATTGGGTCTGTCTCCTCTTTTTTTGGGGTCCGTTTCCGGTCTCAAAAAAGATTTAAATTCTCAGTTTGTTGATCGGTTTCCTCTTTTTTTTGGGTCTGTTTCCGGTTTTCAGAAAGAAAAAGTTCTAAATTCTTAGTTTGTTGATGGGTTTCCTCTTTTTTTGAGTCTGTTTTCGGTTTTCAGAAAAAGTTCTAAATTCTCAGTTTGTTGATGGGTTTCCTCTTTTTTGGGGTCCTATAAACGAGTTTCTGACTTTTTCCAATGATTATTAAAGCCGATTAAAGACTAAATGAAGGGCATGAGACTTTCAATAATTATATATGGAGATGTTCAAGTCTTCTTAACATTAATCTCATCCTTTGTGGGTAACCCGGTATATACTGACCAATTACAGAAAGCTGTTTAAATATTCACTGAAGCTAATGCATTCGCATACTAAGAGTCAAAAGGTAATCATATTTCTTTTTATTATAAAGAAATTAATTTGAAACTGTAAAAGAACATTTTTCTAGTAGCAAGTTTATAAACTGGCTCTTTTCAAGAGTTGTATTCTTGAAAAAAAATAAATACAAATTACTACTTCTTGGCCAAACATACATATGGGGCATTAGTGGGTGGAGGGGGGGGGGGGGGGTTAAACCAAAATTAGTTTATTCCATTAACCTCTTTTCTATGTCAAATAAGGCTTGCAGGCCACATAATAATTTTTTTTGAAAGAAGTCTCCAAGTCATTTAAATCTTATATTATGTTAAAAATGTTGACCGAAAACCTGCTATTTCATTGAAAACTCATTTCTATATTGATTTTAGAATCTATTCATATATATTTCGATTATACCAAAAACGCTGTGCTTTCTTGTACTTTTGGAATAAAATATATTTTTTAAAAATATGCTGTAACAACGACGACATTCTAAATCCTCGAAACAGGGCTGTCCACAAGCCATGGAATAACTAACAAGCAGGGTTGACGCATAACGGCGTCTGAAAGCCGGTACACGTCGTTTGAAAGTGCTTAATGCTGGAACTTTTTAGTACAGGATGCAAAACCTGCATACAGTAAGGGCGCTTTATCTCAATCTTATTTTGCAAATTAGAATCTATAGTTTGTGCAATGCCCTTACTATCATAAAATCTATTCTCTTCGTGTTGTATATACAGCAGTATGATTAGTAAATCTCAACCAAGCAAGATGGGCAGGGCGGACCATGCCAACAAATTATCCCATAGTTGATCCATGCTACAAGCAAACTGGGCGGACCATGCCAACAAATTATCCCATAGTTGATCCATGCTACAAGCAAACTGGGCAGTGTAACCCATGTACACTCAGGCCCGTAACCAGGATTTTCCAAAGGTGGGTGCAGAGAAGGGTGATGTAGTTTGGGACCAGGATCACCAATTGTGAAACGTAATAAACAAGGCGGGGGGCTGAAAACATTGATAATTTTGGTATATGAACTAGTTATTATGTCTTGAATTTTAGTTATGTAGGTTATTTTCTAATTTGTCAACATGGTTAGTAATTCAAGCTTGAATGTACATAATGTTATAGTGACAATTTGATTTTCCCTGAATTTAATATTTTAAATGGATAGCAAAAATTTTACAACAGACAGAAAATGTTGATAATTTTGAATTACTACTCACATTCACTGATATTGAATTGTCTGGACAAAATGTCGAAACTAAGGCAATTTCTCCCAAATTTAAATAATTTTGATACATGAATTAGTATATTGACATATGCGAAACAAACCAGTTCGTACTCTTATCATATCTACCAGGGTAAATCATTAACAAAGAGCATTACATTTGGTTTGTCTGAGGAAACAGCTTATTAGTAAAGAATTGTTCAGACATAGTATTTACACCATACACTTTCCAGTATAATAACAAATTTGAAAAGCACCCCCCTTTTTAGGAGAAAAGGGGTGCACCTGACCCCTTTCANACAATTCAAACCCGGGTATGGGCCTGTGTACATAAGACCTCTTGAATGTACGCAATAATATTGCAGATTTTAGGGCTCCATTCATGGAATTGATTATATGAATTAATTATAATGAACGGGAAAAGTAATTATAACTGGAAATCATTATAAATCTATTCCAGTTACAATTCATGTAATGTTTTTAAATGAACAGATTATCAGGATACATTAAATTTGTTCATTCTCATTATGAGACACAAGGCAAATGCATTTTAAAAGGGAAGATTATGACAAAAACCAGCTACCCATTCAACCCTGACCCCCTAACCCCCTAAAATACACCATGGGGGAGGGGGGGTCCATCGTCACCAAATTCAAGCAGAGCTGATTAGAGTTAAAAATGTGTTAGTGCATGGTTAAATATTAATTATGATACTAGATAAAATTTACAAAAACAAGCACATAAATTATTCTTGAATAAAAAATAATTGGATTGAAATTATCAAAATGTCAACCAATTAATGCATTTAACATGTTTTGAATCCTATTATGTCATAAAAGTTTAGTTAATTATCAAATTAGAATTACCAAAATTCAAACATTGAAAAATTCTAATAAAAAAATTCTAATGAAAAATTTTTAGTTTTTGACGTTGTACTTTTAACCTCTGGCAATGACTGTTCTGCTAAAATTACTGTTTTTTTCGTTCTTCAACCTAACATTAGGAAGCAGGTATGATTCTACTGTAGGGACTTTTTGCAAGGGATATTTCATAATTGGACATTTCAATGATCAAGCATGTGTCATATGAAGGAAATCATATATCAGACATTTCATAAATGGAGAGAAAATTTCATAGAGAGATAATAGAAAATTCCTAAATCTATGATTGATGTTAGTTACTTTCCAAAAGACATTTTTCTAAGCAGCAATTTCCCAATGGTTTTTTCCAAAGTGGCTTCTTACCAAATCTTTACTTTTCCATAAAAGCTGTCTATTTCTGAGTTTCAAACTCTCATCCAATTTTTATTGATATGCCTATATTTTCAAATACATAAACACTACTCACTACTCCCAAGATACTAATTGAAAATTTAACTTTTTTTATTTAGGCAAAAAATGCTATAATTTCATTTTTAGTATGTTCAAGAAAATGAATAAAATCTCAAAGCCAACATGGGATCAATCTGTGAACAAACAGGGACAATTAAGCATGCGCTTAGTTGATAAGGTTTTTAAAAACATAATTGCTAGAATTGCATTTGTTAATTTTTCAAGGATTTTGTGCCAGCAGATTTTCATGAAATCTCTTCTTAATTGATAGCTTCATGTATACAATTGTTATAATTAGTAAAATTTCTCTGTTTTTTTTTCTTTTTCAAAAAATAAAATCCATATTGTTTTGACAGCCCAATGTTTTTGTGTGAAAAGTCTAGTGTTTGAACAGGAGTGCTGGTAATGTAGAGTAGTCAAACTGAGATTGTAGTATTGTTGTGGAGAAATCTTTTCAAATTCATTTGAGACATGTAAAACATTTTAATGATGTGTAATTACTAAGTTTGAGCGCAAAGTGGAAGTTCAAAATCATTCATTTGGATGGTTACGCTTTGAGTACCACTTTTTTTAAAATTATTATATAACAACGACACAAAAAATGTTTTAAATTCTACAGTAAACTAATTAGATGTTTAGGTACATATTTCTTAATAGAAATTTGTCAATAACTCAATTATGTTATCAATTATTTCTTTCTCATCCTTAAATTGAATTTCATATTCTTTAAACGAATTTTGTTTCATCAAATGTTGTCTTTTAAATTATAATTTCAGGAAATCTTCAGAATACATTTGTAAACAATGAGACATTACAAAAACAAGTAACTAAATAAGATTTCTTATTTTTGATGATAAGAGTTAATTTTTACTCTCTCGACCTGTTTCTATTCGTGCCATAAGTTGTTTGTAAATTTAATAATTTGAAACTAAATCACTTCCCATTATGTAAACACCCAAAAGAATGATTTTGAACGTCGACTTTGCGCTCAAGCTCAGAATTTACAGATCTTAAAATGTGTTATATGTCTCAAATGAATCCTAAACAATTTCTCAACTATACAACTTTCTCAGTTCAACTACCATACATTGCCAGTCACTCCTTTTTATAATGTAATGAAAAATTTGCATATTTTTGATTCGATCAAAACCAAAGCGACTTTTAATTTTGTTAACTATTTTGAAAGGGGCACTTTAAAGAGGGAACTGTAACTGGGTTTTAAACTTAAAAGCTAGTTTCTAGCATTAACTTACTTGTACTGGGCGGCAGGTATGGCTTTTAATATTTATAAGGGTTGAGGTTAATTTAGTTGGTTATTGATTATTGAATTTCTTATTTCCACCTTTAGAATTTAATTCAACTGGCTATAAAAAAAACACATCAGCATTTATCTACTTTTGGTAACATTTTGTAAAAGCAAGTATTTTCAAGTATTTATAATAAATGATGTAAAAGCTTTAAATGAAAGTAAAACTTATGCTCATGTCCATCTTCAGAAAAATTTTGTAATCTTATGAAATTACTTTGGGTCATCTTTAATTTTTAAATTTCAGCTTTAAAGTGTTTCATTAGGAAGGCTAGAAACAAACTTGTTGATTTGAAGCCCTGTGAATTTGTCTGAAAAATTGGAAGATATAAATGTTTATTGTTTACAAAGATTAAAAAGCCAGGCATTACACAGTGCGCAGGAGCATGTAGAATGATGAAGGATACTTGCAATGCTGTCCATTTTGAAACTTCAAATAACACTTGCTCCCTTGCAGAGGTAAAAAAGGGTGCAGTCAGTTTATTATTTATTCATTTGTTCCTTGTTAATTAAAAGTTTAAATTTATAAATCGTCTTTTTTTTTAAATTGATTGTTTTCTGAAGAATCATTTGTTTGTGACTTTGTCCAGTGTATTGTAATGAGTATAGTTGTACTAAGGTGGTACTTTAAGCTAATAGCAACATGGTTTGATTGTGAAAATTACCTTCCCAAAAGTAATTTAGTTTAATCACAACAAATTGTATACCTAGGCTTTATTTTTGAAAGAAATTTAGTTGAATCATAGCAAATTGTTGACCTAGGCTTTATTTTTGAAAGTAATTTAGTTGAATCATAGCAAATTGTTGACCTAGGCTTTATTTTTGAAAGAAATTTAGTTGAACCATAGCAAATTGTAGACCTAGGCTTTATTTTTGACTTAGTATAGTAGTCATCTTGAATTTGAAGTATGAAAGTAGGACATTCTCAGAAGTTAATAAGATTTGGATATGGTAATGATTATTAATTTCTGTCATCAACATTATTGATGTAAAGATAATCTTTTCTACACTGGTAGAAAGTTTATGAAAGGCTGTCCTCAACCAATATACAATCATTCTTATGAAGGGTTGTCCTTAACAGTCATTAATGATGGTTAACAATGTCAAAAATTAAAAATGTTTGAAAACGACCATTTTTGTTTGGTTTTTTCTTTTTCATTAATGAAATGATGGTTCAGTTATTTCAGAAAAGTGAAAATAATCCATCTCTTCATTTATACAATTTGGTTTTATGCAGTTGAGTTTACTGGAGGAGTTGCCAGAAAAAGAATCATTCCCTGTTTTCATGGAAACTAAAACATTCAAGCTTCTGGTGAGTTGATTTACAAAACCATTTTAAATCTTGGTTTGGTATGAAATTTGTTGTACCATTAAAATATTAATTGTTTATTTTTAGAATGAGAAAGAAAATTTTCTTCTCATTGCTGAAGGTAGTGATGGGCAAGTTAGACTATTTGCATTTCATTCAATTATTGTTCATAAACAAACCATTTGTTTTGTTTTTTTTCTTTTTCAATTGTTTATAAAAAGAATGATTTTGTTCACTTTGAAAATTGTTGTTCATTTTCCATCTAGTTTGTTCGTTTTTAAGTAAAATATTTCTTTCTGTAAAATCTATTTTTTATTTAAAAAATTGTTTGTTTTGTAAAAAAAACAATAGATTTTCTGAAAATTTTCGAAAAATTTATTCATTTATTGAAAACCAACCTTTTTTAAAAGTTTATTTGAACAATTTAAATCTTTTTTTTTTTTTGTTTGTTTTTAAAACAATCATTTTTCATTTCTCTGGATAAACCATTTTGTTCATCCATATTCGTTTTTTTTTCTAAATTAAAGATGCCTATTTCTGGGTATTCGCTGAAACATATTCAAGGTATCAAACTCTGAAGAATTTTATTACATTTTTGAAATTAAAACATTCTGAATAAAAGCAGAAGTTTTGTTAAACCATAAAAATTTATTTAGGAGCTGATTTGGTGCAATCCTATCCCTGTAACTTTGCTTTACCTGAAGATAGTTATTTTAAGCGAGGAGGTAAAACAGGGTTTAAATAATATTTTGTTCTGCAAAGATTTTATTCCAGACAAATAATCTGTAATCATCTATTTTTAGGGATTGCTACACTGAAAGGAAAAGTTCATATCTACAATTTTCAAACTAACAAGTAAGCAAAATAGAAATGCAAGGTAATGCATGAACATAAAATTAATAGGAAATAGGCAAGAGGAATTGAAAGTATCCATATATAAGATAACTAGGCTTTTAGGGCGCTTAGCGCCCATCTTCTATTTAAATTGTGAACATGTTCTTTTTGTTTATATTCTAAAACAAAGAAGAAAAAAATTTTGCGGATTCTTAAAAAAAATTTGTGGATTTTCAAGAAATTAAATTTTTTTACAAAATTGAAAACCTTTAAAACACATTTTTTAAAATTTTTATCATTCGTAAAACTTCCCTGATGTCACATGATGCCCCACAAAAAATTTGGGCCTGATTAGTTCAGCTGTTTTGACGTTTATTGGATACAAACAAACAGACAGACAGACAATCAAACAGACAGACAAGTCAAATTTATATATAGATTGAGCAACAGCAAAACACAGTTTTGAACTATTGTCCTCTAAATTCTTCCAAAGTAAAAATGTGTGCAAAAAAAAAGAAAACATAAGACAACATTCAAAAACATCAAAAAATCAATTTTAATTGCCAATTATGCCAATATCACCATTATTTTCAAAATGACAGATTATTTTTCTGTTCTTCTACAATGGTAAGCAATTATATATCCAATCCTGAGTCTAAAACTAAAGAATGCGCGAATTTTTAAGTTTGAGGTTAAAAGTTCTGTAAAATAATGAATAGCTACTTAAATATTAAACTTTCTCAATTTTAAATTTGAATTTCCCGGGAAAAATCTGAACCAATCATAGAAAATATTTTAAAGAATTATTACGTAAGTATCAGTATTCGGTAATCAGCTGTTTTTTAAATTTTAAGTTATTTACGTGATGGAACACAAAACATATTTCCAGTTACAACCGTATTTAGGGTTTACGTGCAAACATTAATTAATCTAAAACGTGAAATTTATTGAATTAAATTTTTTACTTTTAAATATATCATAATTTGTTGAATGCCGCTTACCGCTGAATGATGATAGACAAATAGGGATTGCGGGATTTCAAGATTTTAACCCTGGCTTAAATTTTAACCACAGGGTTAAATATTTAACCTCACAGTTAAAATTCAGGTTTAAATTAAGTCAGAAGTGGCATTTAACCATGAACTTAAAATTTAAGTCAAAACTTTTCGTTCTTTAGTTTTAGACTCCAGTACTGGTTCAGATCAACTTTTCAACTTATGTGCACTGTTAATCATTGAATCCCTCAAGGATTTAAATTATCATGAATTCTATTTTCCTGAGAGAAAATGATTCATTTATTCTTGCATAGGTGTTTCCACCGCAGCATGGTGTCTGTTGGAGGTTGGGAGGAAAAACCTGACTGTGTTTCACCACCAAGACATGACCCAACATTTACGACTGTAGGAGAGTAGAGATGGGCGCATACATTAGTTACATTCATTAATAACCTGTTTATTTCTTTTTTTCAGACGTCTAATGTTCTTAATAGAATTATCTTTCATTTTAAATTTATTCTGTTTGTTTTCTTACCCAAACATTTTTCAATTAAATTGTTTGTTCAGTAAGAATGATCATTCACTAAAATTGTTCACAAAGATCACTTGTTCAGTAAAAAGTATTTTAGAAGTAAGTTTGAAAAAATTGAAGGTCCAGAAAAAAATACATTTGTTTCAAAAAGTCTTTTGTTAAGTAAAAAAGTTTTGTTTCTATGATTTCTTTCAAAAAAAGTGTTTATCAGTAAAAATTATCGTTTTTTTAGGTCTTAAAAAGTTTGACTTATCAATAAAATGCAAACAGTCATCAACAATTTCAAATTGTCCGTTATTGTCTTCTTGTTTGTTTTGAAAAATTGATCAGTTTTATTTCAGTGAACAATCCAATTTGTTCATTCACAAAAACTGTGCCAATCTTTATAGGAGAGTATATTCTCATGACTGGAGGCTATGTAGACAATTCATTCCCGTGAGCTTTTTATCTAATAGTCCCACTATATTGTGAAATTAGAATAGTTTGAATCTAAATTAGAGCCATTTTATTTAATAGTCCCACTATATTGTGAAATTTGAATAGTTTGAATCTAAATTAGAGCTATTTTATTTAATAGTCCCTCTATATTGTGAAATTAGAATAGTTTGAATCTAAATTAGCGCTATTTTATTTAATAGTCCCACTATATTGTGAAATTAGAAAAGTTTGAATCTAAATTAGAGCTATTTTATTTAATAGTCCCTATATATTGAAAAATTAGAATAGTTTGAATCTAAACTATAAGAATTTTGTTAATAGTGGCCAATCTTAATCAGAATAGCAAATTGTGATGTTTTTATGTTTGCATTCACATCTTAACTTTTTACTGTATCTTAGTAAAGTTATTTTTTACTCTCAAGTATTGATACTATTGAGCGTTTTGATGGTAAAACCTGGACAACCCTTAGCTCAAAGCTAAGCAGTAATACATGTGCTCACTGTGCTGTCAGAATTAGGTAAAAATGATGCAAAGTTAATATAATCGAAATGTCAAGTGGCTTAATTTATTCTAAAAAGACATGCCTGATCCACAGTGTTATTCTTTCAACCTTTGTCCAGGCAAATTGATGTCAGATATATTTTATCTGATTTTAAAAAATTGTGATTTGTGATTGTAATTTCTACATCAGAAGCAGACATCACATTTTCAAATGAAGTGTCACTTTTGAAATATATTCACCGTCCATCCAAGATTAAACTGTACTAGGCATAAGCTTACTTTTCCTAGTTCCTCACACTTAACCTTCCCCCCCCCCTGATATATTTGTGATGTGCTGCATTTGATAAATGATGATAAATATGAATTTTTGGTTTCTAGTGATACAGAACTGATTATGATTGGGGGTATAAGACGAGTGAATAAGGTAGAGAAATATGATGTTGATGGTAATCTGGTTGAAACACTTCCAAACCTTATCACTGGAAGGTAAATTTTACTCAAAGACAGATTATTGTGAGGTTAAGTAGATAGTGTTTAAAACAGCCTCCAGGGTGTGTTAAACAAATTTTCGAGAGAGCAAATACAAAACGCCCAAAAACAGAATTTCCTAAAACAAAAAGTTCAATAACTCCAAAATTAAAACGCCAAATGTTACAAATCACCGAAAAATAACCAAACACCCAAAATAACCCAAATTCAAAATTTTTTATTATTGCCAAATGTCCAAAATTAATAAATGCCAAAAATTCCAAAGTTACAAAATGACCTGAGTTACATAATATCCATAACATGTCAAAACTGTTTTGAATACTTCAAACATCTATAACATAAAAGCTAGTGATTTCTAAATTATTAATATTACCATCTAACTATGGAAAGCTCAAAAAACATCAAAACGTTGAATATTAAAAATATTGATGATTTTGAAAAGTATGTTGTTGCAATTGGATTACTGAGAATGCTTAAAACATTTTTTGAAAAATCCGACATTTCTATTCTGAGTATTCACTTTTGAAAAAAGAACATAAAGTCTCTTTGTTCCAATCAAAAAAATTATTAAAATCTAATGAAAATGTATGGATCCTAGTTGATGAAAAGAATTTTGTGTACAGGATTAAAGATAGCTTTACTTTAACAACAAAAAGAATTTGCAATTTACTCTAAATGCAAATGTAGTGTTGTTTAAACTTAAGGGGGTCGTTGGTTTCTAGGATGACTAATGGACTTATTGACTCATTATTTTGTTGACTTGTTGACTTGCTGACTCATTGTTTATTTGACTCATTAACTTGTTGACTGAGCTTCTTAACTTGGACGCAAAAGTTGCAGATATTTATGTAAATGGATATATATTTTAAACCTACAAAAAAAGAAATATATAGTAAAAATAAATGTTAAAGTATAAATGTCATTTAATGTTTAATTATATATCTTGCTATTTTGTCATGTCAGGAGTGATTAAGGATCAAAGGGTTTGATGGAATAGTTTTAAACTTTTGTAAATACTTCTGAAAATATAAACCCGGTTGTTTAAGTGGAATTTACTATGGATTGCAAAGTTATTTGTGGATTTGATTTTTCACTAGTCAAACGTTTCACTGCTTGTTGTTTTCCTTTTGTTGGAGAGTACAAAGAAATTGCTGAGGTATTGATTTGTTTTGGAACTTGATAAAGTGGGGGGAGGGTAGGTTAGAAGGTAGATTTATGGTCAACAAGTGTAGAAAACAAAGAGTGTATCAACGGGACCTCTGACTTCTAAAGAACATTTTCACTCCATTGTATTCATATAGACAATGTATGGGTTAACAAAATCTGACATTTCTTACACTGTCTTAAAGGGAGTGTTCATGAAGAATGAAAGAGGGTATAGGCTTAATGCAAAAAATAATCACTTTTGATCGCTGCTAATCTTACTTCTATCTGTTGCATCTATATGGACTAAATTGTTAAAACCGACTTATACTGAAGAACATAACGTCAATACAAATGCAGAAAATTGCAACATATAACTCGGATTGTAAAAAAATCAATTTAATTCCAAACAAATCATTCAGTTATTACAACTGATAATCATCTACAATTTTTTTGACGCATTCGTCTTTAGTTGATATTCATAATATTTTCTATTTTTTATGATCTGATAGTTACTTTTATTCCTGTTTTGAGGATTTTTAATAATGAAGACGACATTTCATATTTTCCAGGAATGTTCAAAAATCCAGCCAGAGAAATATCTTTAAAAAAAACAAAAACAAAAATATTTTAAAATATAAACAATATACAAATGTGGCGAAAGATAATTAATGACTGTAGATGTAATGTATAGAAGTAAGATTAGTAGCGATCAAAAGCGTTTTTTTAATCCGGATAGAGCCTATACCCCCTTTCATTTTTCGCAAACAATCACTTTAAAATTTCTTGTATTGGGCTTTGGACATTTGGAACTTTGGGTATTTTGAAATCTTGGTGTTTTGTTTTTTGGCTGTTATGTTTTGGCCTTTTTGTTATTGGACATTTTGTTTTTGAGGTTTTCATCCACTCCATGATCACTGTGGCAAACCTTGTTAAGTAGTAATTAGGGTATTGTCCAAACTGGTAATCAATGGTTTGAACCATGCATCTCTTATATGTCAAGCGTAAAATTGAACTCTTCTGCAAACATGTAAGACTGTGAAAGTTTAAAGTTTATAAGTTGTCATTTAATTCCCATGTTTATTGGGACACCGTGTATTAAAAAGTCAAAATAGATTAAATTCTTTGAAATTGGACAAAGTGTATAAGTGAATGGGACTTTTTTTTGGTTTTATTCAATAAAAAGTTTTAACTTATTTTCAAAAATGATAAATGCCAAAATTGATTCTGGGCAAAGTTTTTTTATCTTTTGTTAATCAAGTTGCCGTGCATTAATGATTTCACATTTTTACAGAAGTTAATGGTAGATATTCCAAACATTTGTTTACTGCCTTCATTGGATGAATGCCAACAAAAGTAATTATTTTATCAATGAAAGTTTTGTGAGTTTAAAATTCAGAGAATGTGAAGGAAACACCTGAAAACTTATTTGTGTATGTTTGAAAGCACTAACTGAAGAACTAATTTCGCATTTTGCCTCTATAAAACCTCTTAAAACTGTATAGAAGTCACCTAGGGTGTGGTATTCACCAGGGAGAAATCTATGCTGCAGGAGGGTCTAATGGGCGGTAAGTCAGTGTAGTTTTGATAAATTATATTGTTTTATGTAAGCGCTGTTATTAGATTTGGTTTTTAGTCAAAATTTTGGTTTTTTAAAATTTTGCAATATTTTTATCTGACAATTATCATTAAAACACATTGGTTTTTGGTTAGTATTTTGCCTTTATTTTCTGGCAGGGTAAAAATTCGGCCCATTTTTGCAGCAAATGTTTAAAATCTACAATTTTAAAAACAATTACGTTTCTTATACTTTGACCCTAAAAGAAAATATAAGGAAAACAACTTGTAACTATATTTATGATCATATTGATATAATACCATAATTGACAGGCCCATTGACTTATTTTTATTTCCAACCTTAAACTTAATTTTTATTTTTGTTTTGTTGGTGAGCTAAATTTGTTGATAAAATTATCCAAAATATAAGCACATCATGTTCTAAATGCTCTAAATTAATTGTTTTTTTTTTAATGGAAATTTTCATCTTTCTAAACATCCCAGGGAAAGATATTACAGGTTCTTTGTTTTTATTAGGTGACACCTCTATACATCTGTATGTCAAATTAAAATCCATCCTTTATTTAGGATTGTATCTGTTGTTGAGGTGTACAATATGAAAAGTAGAACCTGGAGAAACATTGCCAGCTTTAAATCAGCTGTAGCCTTCCCCAACCTGCATGTTTATAAGGGAAATCTTACCATGTTTGGTACTGGCAGTACAATGGAGATTTATAATGGAGTATGGGAGGTTTCTTCAGAACCTCTTGGAAAGATGTTTTCAAGGGGAAGCTCTGTAAAAGTACCATGCCATTAAGAACCTAATTCATATTTCTGCATGCACTGTTTTAAATATACTAACTGATCGTATCACCATGCGGTCAGATGTGAATGTGACCAGTTCAGCTAGTGTTATGTTCGAGTAGAGTCTGACCCTTTCAGATCCAAATTACAAAGGTCTATTTCTACTTTGCATTACTGCATAGCACTGATGAGAATGCATGCACTCTGACTGGTGCTATGATAAATAAGTATATTCAGAATAGTGTGGTTTTATGAAGAAGGGCCGGGGGAAGGGGATAAAACTTTGTGAATGCTTCTTTTGACTTTGAATTTAGAATTTGTAAAGAAATTTGACAAAAATCCAAATATTTCCTACAAAATCCTGAATGGCAGGTCAGAAAATGTTCAAAAAATTATATTAAAAAAATTGTATAGTTCTTGCCAATACTCCTTGGGTTAAGCCACAGGAGATGAAAAGATATCTGCCCTATCTTACCCCCCTCCCTTTTTTTTGAAGAAATAGGGTTTAGTTTTTGAAAATCGAAAGTGACAATTTGCTGCAGAAAATTGTGGTGATGCTTATTCTTAAAATATGCAGTGTACGCCTTAACAAGCTTGTTTCACTCTCTGCTTTGAAGTTTTATTTGCAAATTTGTTTTAGTAAATGTCTAGAAAACTAACTTTTAGTTTACTTTCAGATCTTAATATTTAATTTATAATTATGGTTATGTAAAAATAGCTTATAGATAATTTATAGAAGAAACATTGCTTAAGTTGTTTGCTTTAGTCATAAACGGTATTTACCAAAATAGAAGCAATCTTTTAGAGTTTATAAACAGGTATACATTAAATTCAAAATTGTAACTGATATTTCTGATCATGTAACTGATCTTTCTGATCAAAAAAAAAATTAGTAAAGATGACTTACATTCCCTTTAATAATGGTTATGACTGTAAATTAAGATATATTGTGTCATTTTATCAATAAATATTATCAGCTTCATCATCAATTTTTTAGTAAAACATCTAAGTTCATTTCTCAGAAACATACTTTGTTTCTTAAGATTTTAAACTTTCCCAGTTAAACTATTTTTTATTTCATAATTTACTAACCATGCACATTTTATTGATTTAATAGCGAGTATTTAAAAAAATTGTATTGTTATTATTTAATTTTCAGTTCACTCTATCTAAAATGGTTTTAGCCCCAATTTCTTAAACACTAAGATTTAGTAAACAATTTGCTTTTTCTGATTTAGGTCAACATATTACACAGATGATAATTTTACAGAGTTAAAATCACTGATATTTATCTAAAATAATAGAAAATATTACTAGGACTGTAAAAAAAATTATCTGTCAATTGAAGTAGGCCTAAAATTTGTTAAGCAGTATAGATATATTCTTTTTTAAATTTTATTCTCAGAACTCCTATTGTTTTCAAAATGTTCATGTAAATAAATAAATAAAATTGAAATAAAATGAAAATGAAGAACAAACAGACAATTTCTATGAAAATTTTTTATTTAGGACATTTTTGAAAATAAAAGGGACGGCTAGTGTTATTAGAAGTAACAATTCATTGCTAAGTAGAAAGATTGATTCACAAGGGTACCTGTAAAAGTGTAGTCTAGTCCAGTATAAATTAGATTTCCACAACTCTTTTTTTGAAAGCTAATTATTTTCATTTGTGCTAATTAAACTACAAACATGGATGAGTTAATTAAAGAACTACAGGGTTGCTAGCATGAGATGAGACTTAAAAGAAGACCTGAAACTCGTTAAATATGACGATGAATAATATACATAACCTGATGTGTAATAAAGAAAAACTAAAAATGTGCAAAATTCTTATTTGAGGTGTATGCAAATAATTTGCAACATTTGTTTGTAAAACTTGTGCAATCTGCTTTCTTATTTCATAAGCTTTCTTAATAGCTAAAAATTATCATAATCTAACAACTGAAAGTGGGTCAAAAAAATTAGAGTTAATCAGTTTGTAAGAAATTAATATAAACCATGGAAGGAAAATTTCTTGAATTTCTTTTAAATTTGGATTTCTTTCTTTTTTGATTTACTTAAGATTTAACTGTATTATATAGAACTCGTGGGACTGTGTTTGGCTCCGTTTCATCATTTCTCTAGTTAAGATTAGGGATGTGATTATTCAAAAAACTATTTTAAGTAATGTTAATCATAAAATTGTTTTTTAATGGTTTCTTAGAAAAATAATTGTTGTAACTTGTAATAAAACAAATATCAACTAAATTCTTATTGGGGAGTCGTAAGTAATCTAGGAAAGGGGCTTTTACAGGATGGGAGGCTTTGGGGGCTAAACAGTAATCAGCTGGCAGAAAGAGAGAAAACTATAATTTCCATAGGGTTTCCATTCGCAAAACTTTTGCACAATTTTTGCGGAACAAAACGCAAACTTTTTCTTTCTTTGCGCGAAAAAACAACAATTTGCGAAATCATACCCTAAAGACATTTTGCGCGAAATTGCCCTATATCATTTTTGCAAAACTCAAGTTTTGCGCAATTCCGCAATTTCGTAAAAATCAAATGGTTGGTGACATTGTGTGTTTCTTAGAATTCAATTCTTCCAGTGCTGGGAGGTTTTGTACCTAAATCTGAAACAGATTGTCCAGTAAAAGTCTCGACAATTTTAGTTTTGGACATGCATATTTCCTAAAAGTGGATTCTTCAGGCATTGGTTACTTTCTTGCATTATTTTATATGAGATTAAAAAGATTTCAGAAATTTGATTAAAAAAATTTAAGAATATAATTCATACTTGATTAGGCAAAGCTTTTAAGGGTCACTTGAAATTATTTAATAGGATTAGAACATTGCCAAGTTTCACACTTTCTAATTTCTATTTTATTAATTTTGGTCCTTTAATTTAAATTTTTTAACTGGAAGTAACCAATTGAGTGTAGTATAATCGTTATCATACTTGTATGTTAATATTTTTTTTATGTATGGAATAAATCTTCAGTTGTTTAATTCTAAGCTTAGAATATCAATTTTTGACAATTTGCCAAAAAATTTACGCTTTGCATAAAACTTGCGGTTTTGTGCAAAAAAATTATGCAAAACTAAAATTTCGTTTCATGCGCAACTTTATCGAAAAATATTTCCGGTTTTGTGCAAATTGCGCAAAACCCAATAAAACTCATTGCGTTTCATGCGCAAAAATAGCGCAAAAGTTCGGAAAATTTTGCACAAAATATTTAGCCATTTTGTGGAAACCCTAGTTTGGATTCTGTCCATTTTAATCATTGTAACTGTAATTTCAAGTGACCCTCAATACAAAGATTACAATGCTTTATTTATATTGGTACTCTTTGAACCTTAGACTGTTCATCGAGTAAAGAGAGCTCGTTGTTTAAATATCTTAAAAACCACTGGAATCACTCTTAAATGTGGTTCACGCTGTGTTGATGGATTTAAGGGTACAGTTGTGAACAGGCATTGCAATCTTTGCATGAAGAGTCACTTGAAATTACGCTGAGCTCCCCCAACCCCCATAGAATGTAAAAAAAAATAGAAATGCTCCCCTCTCCCATGTATTTCATTTTTGATTTATCAAAACTGAAAAATCTTTGCTTTTAGAAAAAGCAAAAGATTTAACTAATTAACTGTTTGTTTGATATTTTGAATAACAAAACAACAAAACAAAGATATTGAAAAGTTGTAAGTGTTTTTTCTGTAATTTAAATTTTTTATAAAATTTGATTTTAATAAGATTCTACAGTATAACATAAGTTTATGATGTCTCTTTTATATCGTTAGAACTAAAGAGGGTCAACCCAGAGAGAAATATATCTTATTTAAAATTGGAATAAACACCTTCTTTAATTACTCTATGAATTAATTGGATCATCAACACCAAACTTTATTTCTTTTGGAGGCATGTCCAGATGTAGTACAGTTTAAACTATCTATCCTATCAAATTGTAAAGAACGTCTCCAGAAAAGATCTATTCATTAATTATAACTATAATTTCTAATGATTAGTCTACTGATAATTTGACTAGAGGACTGGAACAAGTTTATTTTATCTTGGTTGTCTAACATAAGCACTTATTGAATTGCACACACCTGTCCTCAAGCAATTTTAGGTTTAACAAAAGTCTTTTAAAAAACCAAAGTTAGATCCGATATTGTACATTTTCATCCTATTTGCAATAATTCAGGAGTTTTTTGATTATCTTAAAACCAGAAAATAAAATGGTTGTTACAATAAACATAAATATGGGGTTAAGAGCTTTTTGTAGACACCAAATTTGAGTTTCTAAGGCTTAAATTAAGGGAATGACAGTCATTTTTGATATTTTTTCAATATTTTTTATAACAGTTTTTTTTTTTTTTTATTTTTATTATGATTTTAAATCCAAAGAAGCAGTTTTTAAACATTAAATATAATGCTTTAATCTCAAGTAAAACTCTTTTATTCAGCAAAAAAAACAAGAAAATTTGCATACATTTTCAAATAATTAGAAGATTTAGATATTGAATTACAACTTTTACATTTTATGTTTGTTCACCAGACACTGCACTTTTTTTCAGGGTTCATTGCAGATCCTAATGGACAATTCCAGTCTTTAGAAAACTCCTTTTGATTGCTGAAAGGTCCAAGCACTCTGAACCTGTAAAGAAAACAACAATTGTTAGTTTTAAATTCCAAATAGAGTGTTTATTCCAATAAATATCTCTGTTTTCTGTCTTTTAAAGAAATTAGAATTTGTTGCTGGTTATAAAATAATTTGCCCACCCCTAGTTAAAGTAAGTCATTGTGATTTCGGTCATAAAGTTTTATTGTGAAATTACAAATTATGAAGAATTCCTGACAGTGTGATTTATAGGCCAATGGGTATGGGGGATCGTTCTTTCACGAGAAATAACAGAATTTTCAAGAACAATGGCACTGTTCCAATGGAATGTTAAATAAACGGTAATTGTTCTTAGTCCAACTATCAAAGCAGGTCATTACAAAAGATATATTCTTACCTTAAATGTTAAGGCAGGGTCCTTACCTTAAATGGTAAGGCAGGGTGCAAGGGAGGTTTTTAAAAAAAAGTATGACAGAATAATTTTCTAAAATATTTATTTCAATTTTTGTCCAAAATTGACATAAAACACATGACATCACATACTTTTTCAAGGGCTTTTAAAATATGTAACTTTTAGGTAGCTTTACATAATAAAATAGTAATGTACTATTATAGATGAAGGCCCTTGTTCTAGAACAAGGAACCATCTAAACATTAACATTATTAATTTGCACCTTCAACAAATAGCTAATACTCAAAGAACAGAACATGGATGAAACAATGGAAAAAGAACGAGGAACAAACTTTTTTTTCCAAAGTTATATGTGTTAAAATACCTGTATGGAGCATGATAATCAGTTAGAATTGTATTTATCATTTGATTGTCTCGTGCAACTTTACAATAAAGTGCAGCAGACGAAATCCAGAACAGCTGGCGAGGGGTGTATTGTAATCCAGGTAAAGAGAGTTCCTCCCCTTCTTTTCTAATCAGCCTCTTATATGCTCTAGAAAACATTTTCCTCTCTGATAAGTTAAAAAACGCAGAAATGCAATTCTAGTTATTATTTACCTGTAGGCTTCTTTGATACCACCATTATCAGCTATATTCTCTCCTTGGGTGTTTATACTGTCAAGATTATAAACTGTGCCATTTATATCAACCGTATAATTTCCATACTGGTCTAATTGGGCAAATATTAGCATGAGTAAAAAATTATATTAAAAGATGGAGGGAAAAGTTGAATTTTATGACTATAGACTTTGGAAACATTTGGTTCAAACATTCAATTGTTTATTTTTTAAAGAAAAGTGGAATGATTACATACCAATTATGCACTGAGCTTTTTCAAGAAATTTCTGCTTAGTCTCTGGCTCCCACCAGTTTACTAAGTTGCCATCTTCATCTCTTTGGCTTCCTTGATCATCAAATCCATGTGTGATCTCATGACCAATAACAGACCCAATGGCACCATAATTCATGTATTTCGGACGGTCAGACTAAATATATTACTTGTTTTTTAACATTTATGCATTTGATGTTAATTGTCTTTGAGTATTTAAAGTATGTTGACACTTTATCAATGACAACCTACAACCCATTGGACCCTATGAACAGTTGATATTGTTGTAATAAATCAACGGTTTTGAATTAGTATCATTAATTATAATGAAAATTTAATTATATAAACAGAAGAAACCTGAAAAAAGACACCATATAATATTCCTGCTGGGAAAATTAAGCTGTTTTGGTGTACACCATAAAATGCTTCTACAATAGCAGCTCCACCATGTATTTTCCAACTAAAAATATGTTTTTATTATGCATTCATTATCAGTTACTATCTCGTCATAATTTTTTTTAAGTTTTTGATTTTTTGAATGTTTTCTTCAATTTTTTCCCTGCTATTTTTACATGAAATAATTCATTAATTCATTAAAGGCTAGCATTGTTAACAATTTATAACAAATATCTGCTGTTATCACCATAAATAATGTTGGAATTATTAATGAAAGTAGCTTTTGAAAGTAACAAAAAATACTGTTAACAATTAACAAACCTTCTGTTTTTAGTTAAAAAGGAACGGTTGGCTACATGATAAGAAAATCTTTTAACAGTTTAAACTTACTGTTAACAAACAGCTTGAAAAATGTCAGAATATGCTTCTGCCCAGCCCTGATTGTAACAAGGGGCTGAAAATTAAATTCTTTTTGGTTTCTAGTCTAACTAAATTAGTTTCAGATAAACATAAAGAACAATTTCTTTGACTTATCTCATGAGCATTATGCAAAACTATGTGTTAATTATAACCATTTGTAGGAAGAAAATTGGAGAACAAGAAACATAGAAATGGTAAAATATGTGTTAATTATGTGTATGCAAAAGTCTAGCTTAGCAAAATATAGCCATAATTATGTAAAATAACACAATTTAATATTGTTTTGAAATTGGTAAAGTGCATATTAAAGTTTAGAATTGTATTAAATGGGAAATTGTTTAAGTGCAAAGTAACCAAAGTGTGAAATGTGGTGCCATATTACAACCCCTGGCAGATCAATGAAAACCCTGTGAACACCAAACTTTTGCAGAAGCATAAATTTCTGAGATTTTATTGTCCTGGGGATATTTTAAATATTGGATAATGATAAGCAAACCTTTTATGATTGATGGGTTTCCTGAATTCTTTTGAATTATACTTCTTGATAAAGCTTGTCAGATTCAAGTAGTTCCTCAAGAAATCAAGAGAATTCAATTCCAAACCTTAAAATAATTTTAGAATTTTAAATGAAATTTTGGATTTTTACACCTTGCACAGTGGGAGGCCACTATTTGCTTTACACTAAAATGCTTAAAGTAAGTTAAGCTATACATAAAAAGTAGAAATCTCTGTTTCTTGGTTTGTGTGTCTGATCATACCTCATGAACCCCTTCACTGATTTGCCTTTTAATTGAGGAATTCAGTAGGACCATGGAAATGTTCTTAGCATGGTTTTAAAATTTTAAATCCGGTGGGTTGACTTTACTAAAGAAAGTTTAGAAGTCAAACTGGGGTTTAAAGCTGTATAACGTTAAAACTAAAGCTAATTCATAGTTTAAAAGCCTTATAAATCAATTATTATAAATGTCTCATGTGGCTTTTATTGGACTAAAGGTATAAAAAATGTTTTTTTAAGAACTAGATTTTATCAATGAGGAGAAGTAGATGAAAATGCATAGTGTGGTCTAGTTATACCAGTTATCTTTAACTTTTCCAGTTCACAAAAAGAGTACAATACTATAGGATCTACTTCTCAACATCAACATCTCACTATTTTAAAATTTGGTCTCTAGAAACCATCATTCATTCCTTTCAAAAAAGCTATATTTAATCACATATACGGCCATGATAAAACCTGCTCTGGACTCAGGTTTATCATTGAATCCTTTAAGGGTTTAAATTTTCATTAGCTCTAATTTTTCTTGTATTAAATTACATATTTTTCCTAAAATTTAAAAGGGTGAAAGAACATTGATCATGCATTGAATTATAAAAAAAACCTTGATAAAACTCGTTGACTAGATTGTTATCTAAGATCTCCTTGGCATATCCAATGTGAGGTGTCATCTTGTCCACCTTGACATGGGCCTTCTTCTTTGTAATATCATCCATCCATTCAAGCTCATCCAATATTATCTTAAACTCCCTCCTTAAAATTATTTCTGTTTTACTCTACATTCAAGCTTTATGTTCTCACTTAACTGGATAATACATCCATTGCTAATCATTAAAATACCAAAATATTTTGACTGTATTACATGTTTGTATCCCAATCCTACAAATGCTGCATCAGGTTGAATGATCACATTTTTTTTATTTTAGGTCATAAGTAAAAATTAATCAAAATCGTGAACTGTGAACTAAACTGTGAACTGTACAGGAAAATTTAAAGAAAAAATTTTTTTGTCACATTTGTTGCTCTGGTCTTTTTTGTTGCTCAAAAAAAGAGGAATATGGTAAATGCAACAGAATGTTGAAAATGGCATCCATATGTTGAAACAAAAAATAAAACAGTTCTTGAAAAATGCAAAGAAAACAATCCAACATATCAGAAGATCAGAGAATTATTTTTTGTCAACCAGTTTAACACAACAGCAAAAGGACTAAACAAAAAAAGATGATACAACTTTCTGCTGTGGCTTTAGTGTGGTTGTTTTCTGTTTAGCTAATTTAGTCTTTGTTGTTGTTCTATAGTTGTTTTTCTTATATGCTAATTGCAATGTTTAAAAAAAATAAACATACATTGCCCCCTCCCCCACAAACTCAAAACTCCTAACCTATTCTCCTAACCCCTTCCCCCCCACCCATCCCCCAACCCTTAATTCAATGAACATTTCTTTCAGTTTTGACAATACCACCATTCTTTAAGGTTGACCATAATTTTTACACTTTTCATTTTTTTTCATTTCACTTCAAAAAATCCCTCCTCCCCTAATTTGCTTACTTTTTTATAAATTTCTAGAAGTATTTGTTACATTATCTTTATTTTTAATTTGTAATAATTTTGGTCATTTTCTGTGCTCTCTATATATAACATATATACTTTGCTTGTTTGGGTATTTGTTTGTTTGTCTGTCATTTTGAACCCAATAAAATCAAAGCAGTTAAACCAATCCTGACTCAATTTTAATATATAATAGTTGTGTGGAACCTCACATGACCCCAGGAAAGGTTTGTGAATTTGATGAAAAATTCCTAGAAAATAGTTGGAATTATTTTTTGAAGATGCAACCATCAAAACAGAAAAATCCGCCAAAATTTGAAAATGATTTTAAATGAACCACTTTTAGAGCAAAGTTAAAAGCTAGAATAATTTACAGGAAAGGGGGTGAAAAGCAGCCTAAAAACCTAGTTTATACTAACTTGATGTTAATAACCATTTCATCAGCCACAAGTTTACTACTCTCAGGAAAGTATTCTTTGGCAAACATGGCACCAACTGCATTTGTCAGTGAACCTAGGAAAAGAAATTTTTAATTCTTATTCCAGTGCTCTGCCTTTCTCCTAATCTGAAAATATGGTTTCAATAGAATACTTAAACTTCTTTACTTCTTTGCAGTAATCAAAATTTAAAGTGAATCTGGAAGGTCCAAAAATTCTTATCGGTTAAGCTATAATGTCAATATTTTTCAAATATATTTATTGCTAATATTGTTTCAACATAGTTTTCTAAAAACTTTGTTCTAACCTAAAAATCTTAGACTAAAAACAAAGCAATACAATACCTGGATATCCATATAATAGTCATTAACTATCTCAAACAGGATAGCAGTAAAAAGATCTATTTTGTTTCAATCTTTTAACAGCAATAATATAAATCATATTCAATTCAGTAAAAGAATTTAGATTTTTCTTTATATCTTAAATCATATATTGAAATCTAAATGTAAAAAGTTTACCTTCTTTAAAGTAAAATTCTAAATTTCCATTCAATCCTGCAACTACCTTAGCACAGATCTCCCATCTAGTGGATAGAATAGCAAATGAATACTAAGAACAGAGACCAAACTTAAAAAGATTAATGTAGCTAAATATAATCTAAATATGTAATTATAAGATGAGGTCAAACCATGGTTGGTTGCACTTGAAATTATAATCTATATTTAGAGAATTGAGTCAGGGCTTAATTGGAACTGGTTATTGGTGGTTCAGTGACACAGTTCAAATTCTTTTAATTCAGCCTCAAAACATTTAATATTTCATAATTTAAAGAGATATATATATATCTAAATATACAAATATGAGACGCAACCTTAAAATTGTTGGTTCCACTTAAAATTATAATCTGTTTCCAGATTTGAGCAGGGGCTCAATTGGACTCAGTTCAAATTCTTTAAATTTGGCTTCAGAGAATTATTTTTTATATTCACCTGGGACTAACAAGAGACTCCCCAGTTAAAATATTAATATATTTCAAATCAATCTGCTGCACAGTCTAAATAAAGTAAATCATTTAGTATAAACATAAAAACATAAATTTATTCATGGTAAACTGAAGAAAACTATTGAAATCTAATTATTTTCAATTACAATTTCTGACAAGAATGTTTTTAATTTCTTTAACCGGGTCTTCTGTCTAGAACATAGTGCATTTTCATTGATTACTATATGAATTCTGATCGATCTAAAAGTCAAAGTTTAAAAGACTTATGGTTTTCACCATTACTTTACAAAGTTTAGTAAATTTGAGATAGTTATCAGGGTTTTAAGTTCCTGTCTAAGAAAATACAGGTGAATTTCAGGATTGTCTTCAAAGCTCTCTATATAAAATGCTAAATTAGGTAGAATTTATATCAATCAGACCTTGTCACCAAATAGCACCAAGTCCTTGATAGTCCTCCAGATTAGATAATTTGCTTGAACTCGAGCAGGTACAGTGGGTAAGTACTCTGCTATCCTCTTTACATATAGGGGTACTTTGAGATTGATTACTTCATTGGATTGAAGAGGGGCTTCCTGGACAGAATAAGGATAAATGAAATGTTGTTTAGCTAAAGACTCATTCTAATTCAACATTACCAAATCAGGAAAGATGTTGTTAATATGTTCTGTCCAGTTAAACCCAGGAAAGAGTTTATTTGCCTCCTTAACTATCATCTAAAAGAATTAACTAGTTAAAATGTTAAGTAAGAGTCAAAGAAGTACTAGTACTTTAGTGTACCAATTGGCGTCAAACCTAATAGAAATCCAAGGTATAAAAACAGCTACGTATAGCAACATGGGGTATTTTCCGGGAGAAATTTTTTTATATTATTGAGAATTAAAGGTTTTTGTAAAACATTGTAGCTTATCATTATCATTTTCATAATTTCTCTTTTTTTTAACATACCCCAGACATTAAAGGAGCAAAATATTTTAATATGTACATTTGTATGACTCTCTATTGTGTTTAAGGTCCTCCAGATTTTATTATGTACTGACAACTTAAATGAATGATTATATGGTTATACATAAATTTGCATGTTACTATTTAAAAAAATATTTTATAAAAATGCTATCTACAGTTTTATTTTTAGAAAAAAAATTTCTTAGAATTATTAAAAAGTTCTCCAGTAATGCGAATATGATTTCATAAAATTCGGTTTTACCATTTAAATGAAAGGATTTTATGAAGATTATATCTACTTTACACTGATTATTTTATTTCTCAAAAATATAAAAAATTTTCTCCCGGAAAATATGCCATGTTGCTATATGTAGCAATTTCTATACGTTGGATTTCTGTAAGGTTTGACGCCTACCAATTTAAAAAAAAACCTTTTGATTATTTAATGAACTTTAATTTCATTGATCTAAGAGCATCAATTAGGGCTCACACTATGACTGATTAACTTAATATTTATGGGATTTTTTTTGCAGTAGATCTTTTTGTGGTTCTAAACCCATTTTACCACTCAATTTTCATTCCCTCCTGGAAAACACATGCTAAGTCAAATTTAACATAATACTGAAATGTATTTAATGACTGAAAATTTTATTTTGGTAACTTATCTGAAGACCAACAAACTCAAGAATGGTTCACAAAATAGATATCAAATCAGTATTTCTGCTATTTGATGATTATAACTGCAACAGATTATTCAAATTTATGCAGGAAGTAATTTTAATTATTAAATAAAAGTCTTTTTTAATTGATGGATTGCTGAAAGAGGAAATTCTCGTGATCTCAGGGATCAAGGAAATTCTCAAGATCTCTGGGATCAAGAAAATTTTTAAAACATCAGGGATGAAGGAAATCCTTGTGATCTCTGGGAATGCATAGAGAATAGAAGATCCTGGGATCCCAGTAACAACCCGGACACATATATATGTATGAAATTGAAACTTGTTAATATGTATCTAGAAAAACAAGAATATGTACCTTGAAACCCTTACCAATAAAGTTTTGTTTTTCATGAAAAAATCGAATTTAAACTTTGTCTGACTGAAGTTAAGTTTACCGGATTGGTCAAGGCTGTTGCATTTCTTAGCAGCTCCCTTGGTAAACTTATCTCTGCTAATTTGATTTCAAACAACAAGGATTCCTGAAGTATATTGATTACATTCTCAAGTTATTTATTTTAAATGATATTTAAATAATATTTATAATTCCAGAAAAAGATTGAGAAAGCAAGAGTAGACCTAAGCTTGCAAAAAATAAAACATACGGCTTTTTGCAGGGATGTCACAAAAAGTTCCTTTTCTTTCTTTTGCAAAATTAGCCACAATATCAGTGAAACACAATCAAGAACAAGAGAATTGAGACTTTGGGAATACAGAGATTGCAAATAACCAGCAGCTGTTATCATCTGATGATTTAAGCAATTTTGTAAAACATTTAAAAATATAAATGTTAAGAAAATAATATTTAAAATATAATGTATTACTTTCAGTTCTTCCTCTGCAATTTCCTTTGTTGCCCCAAGATACACAGCTAAATCAACCATATACCTTGTAAAAAAAAGAAACAACCATAAAGAATTTTTTAGCCATTTATTTAAAAAGCATATTTAACCCTAAAAAGGCTAGGACTCTGCATAAGGACAGGTGCCTTCCCCTTCACTAGTAAAAGCCTTAGAGTACAGACAGCTATGAACTGGAGGTACATACACATTCATAATTCAATTAGTTCAGGCCAGCTCATTAAGAACATTAGACCACTAACTTTAATGGTTTAGAGTACCCAGATTGTGTGAAGAAATCATCATCATTTAAGTAGTGTAAGTTAACTCTTTTTTGATGTAGAAACCTGCACTGACTGCCATCTCAAGAGAGACCCCTAATTTTCGTTGAAGATCCCCAGCTTTTAAGTAAAAACCTCAACATCTTTTTTACTTGAAAAACTTAAGGTCTCTGATAAAAAATAGGGGGTCTCTGATTTAAATTAAGGTGTCACCAATGAAACAGGGGGAGGGGTTTTCAGTAAATTTCTGGGGTCTTCTACAAAATTGGGGGTTTTGCATAAAAATATGTAGGTTTAAGATGAGATGGCATGCATAAAGGTTTTCAATGTACTCTGCATGAACCATGATGATTATTTTCTGATATTCTTTAAAACTTCCTGAGCCAGGGATTTAAAATCTAAGGCTTGAGTCGTAATTCCTTAAACCCAACTTTAAGACCCAATCTTCAACCCAACTCTAGGGACAGCTTGTGTCACATGATTGACAGCTGCAAGATCTTTGGCTCGACTTAAGGAGTTAGGCCCAATAAAAATAAAACCAACCTTAGTTGGTTTTAGAGGAGCATAAGGCTCAATGTTGCGTCTTGTTCTCATAAAAACTGGGAATGCGCCAATTACTACCATGAAAATTCGCCAAATAGAATATTAAACCAGTTTTTTGAATTCAACTTTGTGGAAAATTAGATGCAGCTTGAATCCGAAAGCTCAAGCCGTAAGTAAGGTCCAACGACAGCTTAGACCCGAGCCGTATTTGCCCTAATTTTTTAAATCGCGGGCTCTGGAATCATAAAGTTATAATTATTTTTATTTGTTTGTGTGCATCAAGAATCAGGTTTTAGGAGAATAAAAATTTAAAGAATAGTGAATCAGTAAATAGCAAAAAATAAAAATAATTTTAAAAATGTTAAATTTGGAAATTTTAGAATTTACCTGAAGTATGCTTTAACTTCCTTGTTATTAACTCCATTAATCATATATTCTCTGCTCAACCCCAAATTGGGCTGGACAACATGCATCATTCTGCAGGTTCAACTTTTTAGAGTCTAAAGACGTCACTTAAAAACCAGGGACCCAAAAACCTAAGTCTCACCTCTCTTTGTATGTAGCACAATGAATCTTTGAGAAAACCAAGGATATGTTGACTTGACTTATTGACTCTTAAAAAAATATGTCAAAAGAGAAGAAAACTCAAGAAAATGCAACTCTTCACAAACTCGCCCTCAGCCTGAGCAATTTGTAACCCCTCTTTTATTTGAATAGAGGCCCTATTCAAAGAAATTAAACCCCATCGCTGAACCGTCAAAAACCAGTTTCAATTGAGCGCTGGCTCAAATAGCGAAACACTGAATACAATTTCAAGTGTAACAAATCATGTTTGAGCCACATCTCAAATTTTAGATGCAGCTCAAGTTCTTTAAATTACGCCTCAGCAAGCATAAGACAGTTGACTTTGCAGCATGTACTCTAAATCTTGTGAAAAAGCTTAACACACCTTTTTTTCAGAGAAACCCTGAAGAACTTTTTTTAAAGTGCACAATTTGTTGTATGGCCCCAGTTTAATACACATTAAACATTGTTAAATATTTTAGAATTATCATTTATGCACAAGAAGTTCCTTCCTCATGTTGACATTTTCAGAATTTGCCAGAATTTCGAATTTTATTATTCTTCCTGTGTCAAGTCCTTTTTGATTGGCTTTGACTGAAAAAAAATGCTCAAAATATTTATTATAGAATATTACAATTATTGTTTTGAAATTCAATACTAAGATCTCTATATGAACTTATTCTGCAATAATTTGATTTCTGAGTGATACCTTAATAACAATTTTTTTGCACAAAATATTTTTTAAACACTTTGTGAAAATTTGTTCGTTCAGTTAAAAAAAAAAAACTTTTTATGAACAATAAAGATGGTTAGAACAACTTCAAATCATTCGTTTTGTTTTTTCCTTTGTCTTAAAACTATCTTTCTTATTTCTGTGAACGATCCATGAAAGTTCTTTGTTTTTTTCTGAACGACACAATTTTTCACAAAAAAATGTTGTTTGTTTAAAAAACTATGGCCATCTCTAATCAGAAAGGGTGAAGAAGGGTTTAGCTTTTCACATAAATTTCTTCTCAGATAGGTTTGTTAATTATTTTACTCTTCTAAATCTTACCATCAAAATCTTGCCATGTAAATGTCTTGTCTTCCCAGTTATTGCCTTCAAGTATTGGCCAGCCACCAAGCTGACCCACCATATCAAGCAGAGCCTTTCTACCTGTCACCTCAATATTATCCTGAAATCAGACAACTGTAATAAAAAAGAAAATATTGGGTTGATGGCATCTTTTACCTGATCCAAACAGCTTTTGTAGTAGTTTCTCACAGACTCAAATATTTTCGGCTCATTAGCCGAGGGGCTGGTTTCAAATAATTTCCTAAATTTGATGAGCAGTTCAAACATATAAATTTACATTAAGATGTTCAATCATAACTCAGGAACCCTATGGTTGATTTGCCTCAAATTTTGATAGGGGGTCGAGGTCAGTTAGAACCTCAGACGTTGTTGAGTAAGTTTACTTGTACAAGGGAAAACTCAGTATTTAGGCAAGGCAGGATTCCCTGGTTAGTTTGAATATAAAGTACTTCTAATGAATTATCTGTTCATGCCGTTTACCTGAGACGCTCGTTATGCTTATCTGCCAGCATCTGGAAGGAACCTGGGAAAAGATATATTTACTAGACATGTTATTTGTTTATTCCAAAATAGGTCCAATATGGGACTGGTTGGAGATTGTACTAATATAACCCAAACTAGAGATGGGCTTGGTTTTTGTAAACGAACGAATTTTTGAGAATAAACAAAATATTTCATGGACAACGGTGTCGTTCAAAAAATACTAACGATTTACGAACTAAACAAACAAATTTTCAAAAAGATTTGAAAAAATGATCATTTAGTAAAAACCGAACATTTTTTTAAACAAACTTTTGAAAACACAATCGTTTTTTTTTTAAAACTTTTTTTGTACAGATTTATTTAAGACAAATAAAATTATGATGTATTATTACTGAGTTTAAGCGCAAAGGTGATGTTCAAAATCATTCATTTGTGTGGTTACGTTTTGAGAATCAATATCCTAAATTATTAATTAAAGACAACAAAAACAGTTCAAATATTCTTCAGTAAACAAATCAGATGTTTGGGAACATATTTCTCAATAAATCAATGATAGAATCAATTATTTCTTTTTCTTCATTATTTTGAATTTCTTATTCTTTATGAATTTGTTTGCAGATTTCTTCAAATTCTTTTGATGTTGTCTTTTCAATAAAAATTCCAGGAATTCTACCGAGAATGTTTTATTGTTAACAAATAGGCATTACAGAAATCAATACCTGTAAAAGATTACTTATCTTCGATGATAAGAGTTAATTTTTATTTTCTCATCCTGTTTTTAAACAACTAATTAGAACTATAACATTTTTTCCACATTCTTAGACATAATTATTGAATTTGCGCTTGTGCTGAACAAATATGCACCGTAAGAACGTCTTAAAGGTATCAAATGATTCCTAAAACTTATCCACAATACTATTCTCTCAGTTCAACTACCATTCATTGCCGGTCACTCCCTTTAACGAACGATTTCAATGAATGATCGTTCAGTTAGAGAACGAACAAAATAGATGAAAAATGGGCCGTAATAGGGCTGGGCGCGTTAACGGTGGAACGATCGTTCTTTGCCGAGAACGAACGGAACGATCAAGAACGATCCCATCGTTCCGAAAAAAAAACGAACGCTTAGAACGCGTTCTTAAAAATATTGGAACGATTTGTAAAAGAACGGAACGGAACGGAACGGGAATTGCTTGAAAAGTTAGCTGAAGGCCCTCGTTCTAGAACGGAACGGAACGATTTCAAAAAAGTCGGAACGTGCCCAGTCCTAGGCCCGTGCATGCAATCGATAAAGGAACAAAATTTTAAAAAACCGACAGCGCCCATCTCTGTCCAAAACCAGCAGATAATAAATCATTTCATGTAACATAATCTTTTTGTTTAGTTTGGTACAATGTTACACTACTTAATATACATGCATTACCTGTTTCAGACTTATGATCTGGAATAGTTGTCTCTTTAAGAAAGTTTCCACAAGCAAAATCATAGAAGTTATCGCAAGGGTCCTACAGAAAAAAGAAACAAGCAAATGAGTAAAAAGAATAACAGAAATGTAGTAATATGAAAAAATTGGAGATTTTAATTTTTTCAAGTTTAAATTGGACATTTCAGCAATTTTAATTAATGAAAAAAAACGTAAATGGTTAAAAAATCTATAATAAAAAACAGTGCATAAATTATGCTTACCACTTTCATATCTATCATTTCAAGAACAGTTGCAGCTGCTTTAACACAGCCTGGGGTTAAGCATGTTGAAAGTGCCTAGATGGTTGACATGTTATAACGTAGCCTGGGGTTAAGCATGTTGAAAGTGCCTTGATGGTTGGCATGTTATAACGTAGCCTGGGGTTAAGCATGTTGAAAGTGCCTAGATGGTTGACATGTTATAACGTAGCCTGGGTTTAAAAATGTTGAAAGTGCTTTGATGGTTGACATGTCATAACGTAGCCTAGGGTTAAGCATGTTGAAAATGCCTTGATGGTTGACATGATACAACGTAGCCTTGAGTTAAGCATGTCGAAAGTTTCTAGATGGTTGACATGTTCATGAAAATTTAATAAAGAGATTTCGACAATGTTTGATTTTGGAAAACCTAAAATTTTGAAATTGTGTTTTTGCCAAAACTCTGATTTTCAAATCTTTTTATCTTTGCAACCCAATGCCATAGACCTTTGATATTTCAAGATATTCTGCCATTTAAAATATATTGCATTGCATTGCCAGCGTTGCATTAAGGGTAACTTGAAATTTTGTTTAAAGTCTTAATAACCATGTCGTTCTTGTGCGAATATGTCTTTAGTAAAAATGTTAGCAAAAGTTGTTAAAATTCCTGAGTATTTATTCTATAATTTAAGGAAAATTATTCAAAAGTTCAACATTTTAAAAAATTTCATTTTTCATGAAGTAGTATTGTTATTGTTTTCTAGTTATTTACCTGTTTAATAGCAGTTTCATTTCCAGAAACTAAAAATTTGAAGACCCCGCCGTCTCTTGCTCGCTCTTTCCGATAACTAGAGCTGGGCACGTTATTTTTAAATCTTTTGTTGAAGGTTTTTTTTTTTAATAATGTAACTGTAATTGTAACTGTAACTGTAAATGTACCTGTAACTGTACCTGTAATCTTAACTGTACCTGTAATCTTAACTTTAACTGTAACTGTAACTGTAACTGTAACTGTAACTGTAACTGTAACTGTAACTGTAACTGTAACTGTAACTGTAACTGTACCTGTAAAAATATTGCCTGAGTTGGGGAAAAAAACATTTAATATTTCATAAATTGAGGGAAATTCACAGTAATAATGAAAGCGCATCCAATTTTTAAAATAATTGTTTTGCCATTCATAAACGTAATCTTCCGTTAATTAAAAAAAACATATTTCAAGGAGATGTTGCCCAGCCCTACCGATAACTAGGACTGGGCAAAGTTCCACAAATAAAAGGTTTCTGAAAATTAACAGAACATTCCGTTAACAGCAAAAACTATTTGATTTTAGAATGTTTCCTAACGGGAATTGTCGTTTTTGAAAAAAAAAATACTGGTTGAAAGCAAAAACAAAGCGAAGGTGTTTTTTAAAGACATGTGACTTTTGTTCTTTTTTTCTGATAAAACTGCATATAATAAAAGATATTTTTTGTGTATTTTAATAGTTTTTAAATGTCGTATTCTGATTGTATTGTTGAATAAAATAATCGTTAACGGCTCGCTATAACAGCTGGCCACATTAACAATTTCTACCGTTAACTAATTACGATATCAAGATTGTTAACTAACATTCCGTTTTAACCTGAAAACGAACGGCTTCAAAAAAAAAATAACGGTTTTAACGAACTGGGAACGAAATGCTCGAAAAATTCAGAAAGTGCCCAATCCTACCGATAACCCCCAGACACAGTAGAAACTAGGAGTAAAAATACAAGGGACTTCATTTCAAATACTCTGTAACATTAAAAGTACGAATGACAATATTATATTTCATCAAAGAGTTTTAATGATCTGTATATGGTCCCTGCTAAATAATAACTGAACATGTGTTGTTGTAAAAGCAAATTTTACAACAGAAATATTAATTTTATGTTGTTTAAAAGTGGTACAAAGAAATTAGTTATTTTTTGTAATTTTTCTAAAGAAAACTTCTTGGGATTTTAATACCAACGATATTTTTGACACTTATTTATCACTGTACAGAGGTCATTTTGATTCTTTAGTATAATAGTATACAATATTATAGCAATGTGATGTAAAATTTCAAAACTTTTCTCAAAAAAAAACGAATATTAAAAGAAATTCTTTTCAATCTAAATTAAAATAGAATTAAAAATTTACTTTTACTTTTTTTCTGCTTTGTTACCAAAGCATATTATATCTATAAATAACCATTGCAATAAACACTATGATTTTGGCATAGCATGATATACCATTTTTGGACTTAAATTTTCTTATTTTGTTCTTTGCTAAAGCTTTAAAAGGACTTTAACCTTCTTTCTCGATAAAGAGAAATTTTCGGTTAAAAGGGTTTTAGCACTGCGAACCAAAAAATAATGGTATTAATAGTTATTTTAAACATAATAGTAACACGGATTTCAAAGCTTATCTTCAAAGAGATTGTTCGCTAAAAATGAAAGGGGGTTTAGGCTTACGTGGAAAAATTATCGTGGTGATCCTACTAATCTTCCTTCTATCTGTTGAATGATTTTTTTGGAATTAAATTGATTTTTTACGATCCGAGTTCAATGTTTTCTGAATACGCATGGACGCTACGTTCTTTGGAATGAGTCGTTTTTACCAATTTTCTCCTTATAGACGCAACAGATAGAAGTAAGATTAGTAGCGATCACCGTCGATAAGTTTTCGACATAAGCCTATACCCCTTTCATTTTTCGCGAACACTCCTTTTAAAACAATTATAAAACATGCTATATAGCTGTAAGTAATCAAAAATTGTCGAATGTTTATGTAAAAAACCAATAAAGAAAAAGTGTCTAGAATATGGGAAAACACGATGTATTCTGTAAGTCTCAATTTAGAATATCAGACTAAAGTAACTAGGACGTTAGATTGATATTTTATATGTTTTTAATCATACCTTCCCTTGTTGTAGAGCTATTAAGAAGAAGAAAAATGTTTTGAATTTCTAATTTGTAATTGCATGGATAAATTTGCTTTGCTTATATTTGTCACATAAATTGAACCTTCTCCTTCATTTTAGGTTCAAGTCCTTTCATATTTATTCAGATTATTTAAAAAAAAATATATATCTTATTTTCTTTTGATTAGATCATTGATGCAAAAAACATTCAGAACAAAATCGTTATTTTTGCGAGAGATAAATTTCTGTGACACTTTTATATTGAAAATATTGATGTCATTAAAAAATAAATAAAACTTAAAATTTTATAACTGGAAGCTGTAAATCAAACTGTGACTTGCAATATTCTAATATTTCTAAGAAATGAAACAAAAACAACCCCACTGTGTTTTCAAAACGTCATATTGTAAAGAACTTAAATTTCTTAAATAATCTATAATCATGATATAAATATAAATATAACTTGTAAATACCCTAAACTTGTATATTATATATGTTGATTTGAATGCGCTGACCGCTATACCGGTTCTAGCACTAGTAATACCTTTAGACTCAATAAAAGTTAGTTATGTGCAAATCCTTGTATTAGTAAGGTCGGGTTGAGCAGATAGAATTGCTCATGTATGTTTTATACACAAAGTTTATCCGGAGAGACTGGCTAGTTTTCTTTTCATTTTAACTTCATGTTATATCACCATTTCTATTTGATGCCCCCCTCCCTCCCCCCTCCCCCGCCGTCCCTGGGATCCCTAGTTAGGTTTGTACATAATATGATCCGAACTATTTCTGCGGGGAAAACAACTTAAACGTGGAATCCAAACACACTACTGAACACATAGTTCGATCAACTTGTTTCTTATCTAATACTTTAGTTTTACAAAAATATAATATTTTCAACTGGAGTTTCCACAGGCAGCCAATTTTCGCGAAATTTCGCCCAAATTTGCATTCGAATTTTGCAAATGCATGCCCAAATAAATTGTGCGACATATTCGCGCAAACTCGGATTTGACCTTTGGCATGCAATTTTTGCGCAGAATCGACGTGAACTTTTTCCATGCACAATTTGCGCGGAATTTCCACAAAAGGTTTCGTACATACGGACGCAAAAAATGTAAAATATGAGGCGGAATAAAAGTTTAACTACGTATAGCGATTTTCCACCCCGCTGGTAACCCTAGATTAAATATTGACCATGCTTTTTAGACTTGCAAACCAAAATGAGTCTTTTTTTTAAGTCAAAAAACGTTTACGTCCTTTATCGCCTCATTTAAAGAAATTCTTTTGAAAAAAAATTTAGAAGAGAAAACTTTTTTTCTTGCACAATTTATTCTTTCCAGCACTCTCTGAGTTTTTAATTTTTAAATATATACGAAGTTACATAACATATAGACATAATAAAATAAATCAACAAATGACCTGATTACTCCCTGCAAACTCTAACTTTTTAATACTTGAAATCATCATTCTTAAAAACATCAATACATCAATACAAAAGTTCTGACTTATGAATATTTATTGTAACTAGCTTAAGGGCCCGGCGTTGCCCGTGGAAAAAATGTTGAAAAAAAAATGTTCGAATTTGTGTCTAGCCTATAACACCTTCCGACCACCAATGAGTGTCCACTAAAAAATTCAGCCCAATCGGTTCAGCCGTTTGGATGCAAGATATATACGATTTTTTTTGTTTTATTAAATAGATTAATTCACAATACCAATACTGTGTATTTGTTTTATGTTTTTAGGAACTCAAAATCTGAAACCATTAACATTTCAAATGAAACTTACAATATTTATACTTTATCCAATTGCATGGGTCTACAACATCGGGGTGCAAAGATATAGGGATTATAAAATCAAGGTGTTTGGCAAACGATAATTCATGTAAAAATAAAGACATTTGGCCGGAAGACTAATTGGTTGTGGACAGGAAGCGATGCGAGTTAGCTCGCTGCCACAAAACCATGTTGGGATGAAAGCTATGGGTGCGGCTTGCCCCACCTGGAATGAGGATCAATAACATTAATAGAAAGACAAAACATTTTTTTTGGTTCATTCACCAAAGTCACCGAAGCCACTGCGAATTATAGCTTTAATGAAAAAAATTGGAAAATTCATCCCTACAATACTTTACAAAAATATCTTTTGCAGGTGAGGCTGGTTTTTTAGGCCTATGTAGAATGTAATTTTGCTATAAAGACTCCTGATATTTGTTAAACATTAAAAATGTTCCCTAAGAGATGGTATAAATATTCTAGGGTTGCAGGAAATACATTTTTGCCTAAAACTCTAATGTGTATCTCTATATCTTTGTAACCCGATGTCATAGGTCTTTGATATTTAAACTAGGAATTATGTTATATCAAAGTCAAAGTTTGAAATAACTAAGGTTTACACCATTAGGTTACAAAGATACGCGGGATTAGAAAATTAAATTTGTGTCAAAAACTCACTTCCTTAATTACCTTTTCACAATTTAACTTTCCAAAAAAACTACAGTCTTTATTATAAAAATTACGAAATTGATCATATTCAAGCTTGTTTCTCAACTAAACAATTTGCGTTTGTTGAAAATTGACAGAATTGAACAATGATATTGATCAAGTCACATAAACGACGATATCTTCTAGTTTATTGATCAGATAAAGGTTTAAATTAAGGGTATCGTTGTGTATTGTGGAAGATCGTGGTGAGATTACAAATTACTTTTAAACAGATATTACTCATATTACAAACGCATTTGTAGTACATATGTACTAAACCCGAACAATAAACTTTGATAACCAAATTTTTTTCTTCAATTTTTTTGTTAAAAATTTACAGTGCATAACTTAGTATCAATGCGCAATTTACAGTTTGTAGATATTAATGAATGCGTAATAGATATATATATTATAACTACGTATTTTATTGATATATAACCAATAACCATTTCTTGAGCTTAACCTCTCCCCTGGAAAGAAAAAAAATTAAGCCCCCCCACCTGGACAAATGCCTGAATATGCCTCTGAATGAACAGCAAGTCTAATTTTAAAATTTGTTTGTGAAAAACAAGGGTTTGGTCGTATTTTGGCATTAAAAGCATGAAAAGAATCCAAAGCTCTGTATAAACGTACAAAGATTTTTTATTTGTTTACGTAATTGTTGCAGCTTTGAATATTTTCAAAAATATGTTTATTATATTAAAAGTTAATTATACCATCCAAAAGGATATTCACTTATTTATTCATTTATTCATAAAAAAGAACAAATGTAATACATACTTATTTTTGTATGCGATAAAAGAAAAAATTACTGCCCTCGCTCCTGACTGTTCTATGGATGGTGTATCTAGCAGCTGTAATTGTAGCTGCTATAAATGTGTATATGTTAGGTACTGCTCTGCACTGCTGACTATTCTATGGCTGGTGTATCTAGCAGCTGTAATTGTAGCTGCTATAAATGATACTGAATTAGGTGAGGAGAAGGTTATTATGAGAATTCAAGGTAAATTCTTTAAAAATGAAACTAATGAAGGATTTTAGAAAAACGTGACAATTTAATTTCTCTATATTTGAATCATACAAAACTAGTCAATGAACTAAAAAAGAGGGAGAAGGTGAATTCTATGTGACATCAAAGGTACAACTTTGTGACCCTGTAGCTCCTCCATCTTTGATTTTACGCACAAATAAAAGAAAAAAAAATTATTTGGTTACATATAGGAAATTCAAAACATTCTTCTCAATAGCGCTTCAATCAAAGGAATTATGATTCATAGCATATTATAAGATTTCAATCTTGCATGTAATTTACTTAGGTTTCTCTGAAATTGACCTAACCATTTATTCAGCTGAGACAAGGAAGAAAATTGACACAATTCATCACATTTCAAGATGGAAAAACGACCTGAAAATTTCCTCATTGTTACTTGGATTAGGGTTAATAGGGTGCTGTAGTGAATCTTTATCTGAAGGCGCACTTGAAATTACGTAAATAGTTTAAAAGTGACAAAAATTTATTTATAAAAAATTAATAAAACTATTTTGTTTTCAGGGCAGCTGATCTGGGGCTGCATCTGGTGTGGATTCTCTATTATTGTTTATGGTTTAGCGACATATACAATTCATTTGGTAACTTTTTGCGTTTTTTTTTAAGGATTTTTTGCATGATTTGCATAGATTTACAACTATCTTACAGCTTCAAGATTCAGACACTATTATCAAATGGTCTAATAAAAATCAAATATTTGTAAAACCCACGAAATTAACAAAAATAGTTTTACGTCGAAAATATTTAGCTTATTTTGACAGAACAGTGAAAATTAAAATCGGCAATTTTCCCAATTCTAAAATCATTCTCTAACAAATCTTTTATTTTGAAAACTTAGCTTTTATTTCAAACTGGTCAGCTTGCAGATTTCTGAATATCAAATCATTCGCTAATTTAAAATGATTTTTGTCCCAATGATTGCAAAAAAAAACTTTGATTTTTATGAAAAAAAAATATTTTATTAATATGATTTAATTTTTTTTTCTTCAGGGCAAGAGTAAGAACCTGTTGATCCCTGCTCTGTGTGTTTCCCTGTTCAACGTGTGTATCGGCATCATCAACGGGGTCATCAACTTCGTCGTTCTAAACATTTTTGGGTAAGTTTGATAAACATGGAAATCAAGTGAAGCATTGAATTGAATAACTTTTGAAACAAAACAATGATTTTATGACTATTCTTGTTTTTTGAAATTCAGAGAACGTTAATTTGCTATTTTGATTGAATAGACATTTCTAAATTAACCTGACGTGTTCACATTAGTAAATTCGTCAACGAATAAAATTTGGAAAGATATGAGATCGATTGTCATGTTTACTTTTGAAATCTGTAAAAAAAAAAAATACTACAATGTTTAGAAAATTTTCCGTATTTACACATTCTTAAAAACTTAAATTTAAAACTGCATGTAACTTTTTAGCTATTCAAAATGGGTCATCTTATTATTTATAAAAATTATTATTTTAAAAGTGAAATTAGTAAGGTGTGGGATAAAATTATAATATATTTATATTTTTTAGTGCTGTTGTGTTGTTTTGTATTGCAGCATTGACCCTCTACTATTTCCTGGGACTGCACTCTGTGTATCAGAAAATGACAGGAATATATATGTCCGTTCCGTGAAATATTTCGAGGATTTCTCCACAATAAGACGACATATATATGTCCGTTCCGTGAAATATTTCGAAGATTTCTCCACAATAAGACGACATTTGTAAATTAGTAAAATATTTTTTCACTTAACGTAAACTGCCTATTTTTGTTTATATTTTCGCAGATAGTTCTTTCGTAAATTACTTTTAAGTAAATGTATGAAAAAAAGAATTTTCTCTTTTTTATTGAAAAAACAAAAAAATTGTAGAGTACGAAGGCAAATTCACAAAAAAAAATTAAAATTAAAAATGACATGTCTAAACATAGGCCCTCCTGCAGGGGAACCTAAAATTAAACTTCCAATGTAGAAAACAAGAACAGGTATTCAACTTTATCGAGGCATACAGTGAGACACATAAAACTGTGGAAGACGACTGTACGACTTTAATCATGATTTAAAATAGTCAGGAAAATGAAACGCTGCAATTGTTCAACACATAATTCACGTTGATGTTCAAGCTTTATATTGACAAAACTATTTGCTTTATTACAAGTACAAATATAAGATGTATATGTCGCCTTCTTCCTATTCTAAAGTTTTATAGAGTTCACTGTCTTGTCCGAGTAAATGTAGAACATTTATCAACATACTTATTTTTACATTTTTTTAAAAGTTTGTAAAGGTTCTTTAAACCTGGAAATGTAGTTTTGATGCTTAAAAAGCTAGTTTTGATTCCTAAAATAGTAGTTTAGTTACCCAAACAAGTTCTGCGTGAAAAAGTAGTTTGTAACCTAAGAACTAAAAGACAAGTTTTAAGAAATCTCTATGCTCTATAGATACTTTGATTGCTTTACAACAAAGTAGTAAAGGAAAAAAATGTATCGTTCTTTGCCAAAGTAATAAATATTTGTTTCTTCTGAGAATAACTTTATTGTAGAAAAAAATGTTCTGAGATAGTTTTAAACCTTAAATGGCACTCTCAGAAGTACAGGGTGTCCCACGAAATATGACAGTTGGTGAATAGTTTTGAATGTCTTCTTCCATACACTGTATTATATATTTAAGACTTTTTGCACTTCAATTCGTAAAAAAGAATCTTTAACTCAGATATACTTTACTTTGAAATAAATGACTGCCATGTGATATTTCTCTTTGGTATACCATTAACTTAACAAAATATGGAAAAAGATATTTTTACTATTCACCAACTGTCATGGTTCGTGGGACACCCTGTATGTCACTAAAACGGACTGTCAATATGAATTCAAAAAGAGGCATTGCTTGTTATTCATCGGTATCTTTTTAACCTTTATTAGATTAATCTTTAGTTCTAACATTTTTCAAAAAAAAAATTCTAGCAGAAATGCGCCAGTCACTTTTAAAAATTATAAATTTTCCAAATCAAAAACATGAATATCTCATTTATTCTTGATCATATTCATTCGTAAATTCAAGTGATTCTCCGTGTGAAATTTATTCCCTTTTCAAGGTAAAAATACGACGATATTTTCCACCTTGTTGATCAGATAAAGTGAACCGGCTGTGTGGAGGTCACTAGAAATTACAACAGAGTCCGAATTTAATGAATTTAATCAGCGTCTCAAATCCCCCAAAAACCGGTTTCAATCGAGCGCCCGGCTTAAATCTTGAAAAAATGAATACAATTCTAAGTGAAACCAACCATACTTGAGCCGCGGCTCAAATTCGTTTAACTCGGCCTCAGTTTCTTTAATACTTCTCCTTTTTCTAGATTTCCGGAGACTGCATACTGCATAGTGGATAAGACTGAAGATTTTTTATAAGTTCTAAAATTATTGTTATACACATATTTGTAATTTTTTAAATGAATAAACTTACAGTACAGCTACATATTTTGTCATTTTTTTAAAATCTAAATTTTTTTATTTGTTCTGCTTAATTTAGATATTAAAATGAAATCATCATTAGTTGTCGCCACGACAAATTTTTTTTGGCTATTTTGATATTGTAGAAAAAACAAATTTAAGTGAAATTTTCTAAATTTACATGACTCCTGGGAAAGTTTATTCGCCGACCCAAAAATGTTGGAAATCCATCAATGAAAGCGATAAAATCCGCAAACGTACTTGACGGCGCGCGTGCTTAAAAGAAATGGCGGCTAAAAAGTAAAATCTAAAAGTTAAAATTGATTCTTAAAAATCTTTACAAGGTTGCTTAATAAGCATGTGTTTTGTCTTAATGTTTCCTTCAAAGTTAAATAAACTTTAGTTTGTAGAAATTATAAAATCAGAATTGCATGTTGGAGAGAATTAATCCTGCCTCAAGATGAAGTTAATTTTAGAATTATTAACACCTGCTCCTTACAGTTTACAACTAGGGACCTTGTCTCTCACAGTTTACAGTTAGGAACCCTGCCCCTTACAGTTTACAGTTAGGGACCCTGCCTCTTTCATTTTAAAGTTAGGGACCCTGCCCCGTACAGTTTACAGTTAGGGACCCTGCCCATTTAAGTTTAGAGTTAGGGTCCTGTCCCTTACAATTTAGAATTAGGGACCCTGCCCTTTAAAGCTTACAGTTAGGGACCCTAACTTAAAGTTCACAGTTAGGGATCCTGCCTCTTACAGATTATAGTTATGTATTAGTTTGAGACTACTTATCTAGAACATACACAGTTGAGCAGACCCATAACTGGGTATTTTTGTAGGGGGGGGGGGGGCGCACCGAGTAAAACATAAGAAAACCTTTTACAGTTAGGGACTACCCAACTAGACCCAATAAAATTAGGAACTACTGAATTAAAGTATATAAACAGTTAGGAACCACTGCACTAAATCTAATACAGTTAAGAAACACTGAACTAAATCTAATACAGTTAGGAACCACTGAACTAAATCTAATACAGTTAAGGAACACTGAACTAAATCTAATACAGTTAAGGAACACTGAACTAGACCTAAACAGTTAAGCACTACTAAACTAGACCCTAAACAGTTAAGAACTACTAAAACTAGACCCTAAACAGTAAGAATAAAAGAAACCCAGATTAACGGTCTTTTATGAGTATTATGAGATGAGTCAAATTGACGATTAAAGTAAAAAGCCGTGTCTGTTCCAGAAGTGGGTGCAAATTAAAGCTGTTTTAAGTGTTTTTTTACTTTTGATTAAAATTATCTTATTAATTGCATTTTATGTTTTACAAAAATATCAGTATTGTTGTAGAAAAATATATTTTAATAAATAAGTTTAGATTGAAAGATAGATAGATAGATAGATAGATAGATAGATACATAGATAGATAGATATATAGATGAAGAAAGTAAGAGTTGGATGTCTGATCACTTGTACATCTAATCTACTCGAAGAAGGACCTCTGTAAGGAAACTAAGAGATGAAACTTATCTGGAGGTGACTTATTTAAAGAGAGAATTAACCAATACTCGGGATTTAAAGGGACTGTTCGGGAAAAATACAGATTGATACCTATTAATATCAATTAATGAAATTGGTAACAAAATGTACGCCATCTGATGTTTTTTAACCTAAATTAATTATTTTGAAAATGCAGAAATACCGTCAATACTTAAAGTCAAAAGTTGGTGATTTAAAAGCACTTTTTAAAATGTTTTTTTAAAACTTTTTATTTTAGTTGGAGTGAAGAAGAAAAGTCCGAAAAAGACCAAGGTGATCTGATCAAAGTATTTAAAAAATATGTCATGTGAGATCTATCGAACCTAAAAAAAATGTTGACCAATTAAAAACTTAAAAAGAATTTAAAGTTCAAATATGAAACATGGGTGAATCCTATTTTGTTTTTGTTTCTGATTTGTTGCATAAAAAATCCAGCCAATAAGAATGATTGATATATTTCACACACTTTGATATAATTGCAAAAACTTTATTAGATACTCACAAATGACCCCTTTATCTAAGCAACTCCTAGAGCGGCGGCTAGGATAAATCCAGTAGCAGCCAATGAATCAGCAAAAGATATGGAAGCTGTTGTGTGGGGATCAATTGCAAACTATTGTTGAAGGACTGCTGCCTTGGTTGAAGGATGATATCTCCTCTTCTGGATCCTGAAAGCCAAGGACTCCTAGCCCAGATATAGAACTAGAGGATCTATTGGAGTTTAATGCAGCTGCTCAGAGGGATCCTACTCCGGAACTGCTAAATGAAGTATTCAAGTTCAGAGATCCTAAACCAGAGCAGCTGAATGAGGATGAGGAAGCTGCTCAGATACGCCCTACCTGGAGCATCTAAATGAGGTATTTAAGTTCAAAGATCCTGAACCAGAGCAACTGAATGAAATGTTTGAGTTCTGGGAAGCTGCTCAGATGGATCCTGAACAGGAGCAGCTGGATAACAGATACAGAAGGAAACCTTTGAGGATTTTTCATCGGAAATATCTAAGGAATAGACTGAGGATTGCTATGCTTGAGAGACAGTTCAGAGATTTTAACAATTTGGACCTCTTCCTTCCTTTGGATATCTTTAGACCACATACTGGCCCATGAGGAGCATTGGAGGAGTTAAACATGCTCAGGATCATCCTGGATAATCATAGGACCAGCATACTTTCCCTAGTTGAACAGTGGTCTTCCTGAGTACCTAGAGGAACTAATTAAAACAAGAGTAACCTTATACCGATGTAATTAACAAATAAACTATGAAACTGATAAATCCCATTCATTTATACTATGAGAGATATCTACAGAAAGAATATTAATAGGATCTTTAAGAACGAGAGTACGGGGATTCAGAGTGAGATATATGTACACACCTGAACCATAGGAGCAAATGATTGATCTAGAAATCCCTAAGATTTACATCTGGATTGTATTTTATTGAACCCATTAATCATTACAAATGAATCAAACAAATTTGGATATAATATCACACACTTTAATAGAGTCGCTGAAACTTTGATATATTCCTTCATACTTTGAAACAATCTAACAAACTTTGAGAGAATCTCACAAACTTTGATAGAATCTCACAAACTTTGAGAGAATCTCACAAACTTTGAGAGAATCTCACAAACTTTGAGAGAATCTCACAAACTTTGAGAGAATCTCACAAACTTTGAGAGAATCTCAAATACTTTGAGAGAATCTCACAAACTTTGAGAGAATCTCACAAACTTTGACAGAATCTCACAAACTTTGAGAGAATCTAACGCATTTTTTTTTAGAAAATCACAATTTTTGACAGCCTCCTAAACTTTAATAGTCTTCCAAACTTAGATGGAAAGTCACAAGCTTTGATAGAATCTCACAAACTTGGATGGAAAATCATAAACTTTGATAGAATATCACACAATTGAGATATAATTTCACAAATTTAGATAGTTTATCACAGACTTTTTTATAGAAAATCACAAACTTTGATAGAATCTCACAAACATTGATAGAAAGTCACAAACTTTGAAAGAAAGTCAGGCAATTTTAATATTCTCCTAAACTTTGATAGAAAGTCACAAACTTTGATAAAATATCGCAAACTTTGATAGAATAGCACACAATTTGATAGCATAGCACAAAGGTACTTTGATAGAATATCAAAAATTTATTTTGATAGAATAGCTCAAAATTTGATAGAATAGCACAAACTTTGAAAAAAAATTTCACAAACTTTGTTACAATTTCACAAACTTTGACAGAATTTCACAAACTTTTATAGAATTTCACAAACTTTTATTGAATTGCAGTTTGCAGCTCGATTTCGATGCTTTAGTTTTTCTATGTTGTCAATTATTTACATACTTGAAATTCCTAATATTTTAAGATTATACATTCTCCATCCTCGGACTTCTCCTGGTTCTCCTGGTTATTCTGATTTGGATTTCAGGAACAATATTTCAACTTTATATCCTTAAAGCCCGCTTTATTGTCCCAGCTCACAACTTTATAAGAACAAATAAGAACAAATTTCCATCAAAATTTTCATTAAGCAATATTTTAATATTATCTTTAAGATATTTTTACTACACTCTGAAGAAAGAAAAAATTGCTACAACTATAGCATTTAAGCTTTTTATTATACATTTCAAGCATTTATGTTCCAAAATGTATAATAAAAAGCTTAAATGCTATAGTTGTAGCAATTTTTTCTTTCTTCAGAGTGTAGTAAAAATATCTTAAAGATAATATTAAAATATCGCAAAATGTGTATTATTTTTATTCATTTGTAGTTTTAGATACCCAGTTACAGAGAAAGTTTTGCTCTAGTATTGCCCAATTGCTCATTGGAAACCTTATTTAATATGCATAGTTTAAATGCATCAAAATGAGTTGTGTTTTTGATGTTATTTTTTAAACTTGTACTCAATCAATTCCACCCTGTAGTGGCAATCTATTTAACAAATTTAACAAACCTTTATTTGAAATAAGATTGGGAAGATATCTTTGTTTTTCTTTCATAAAATTAAAGATTTTGATAAATTTAAAAAAAAAAAAAATTTCGCATGAAACTAAATTGATCTATTTTTTTATCCCTATATTACCTAAATGAGTTGATTCATTGATAGGCGAGGGGTTGAAACCGTTCACCACAGTATCAGCATAAATGTTAAATTATTAGGTAAAATCATCCTCATCTATAGAAATCATGTAAATTCAATATGCTCGTAATTCTTAGAAACAAAATAATAAAGGGACTGTTGACGTAATTATCGGTAGGTTTAATCGCATAATTTTTCCAGACTTGGTCTGCGCCAAGGTACTATTGCAAGGAAAGTTAATTGTGGTCGTGTATACTCTGCGTACATAATGAAACCAGTTCTCTTTGGGCGGAATTTGTAAACAAGAATAGATGCATCAGTGTTCGTTTAGTATCCGAGAAGGTTAAAAGCATTAAATTTTGACAATTTTGATAATTCACATAATAGTTTCCTATGACCAGAATATTTCATTGATTTTTTAATGTGAAAGATGGATCCCATGTCAGGCTGTAACATCAATCTTGTGTTTACATTACCGCCCAGAGACAGTACACTGCAGTACAAAAGATGCTTACACTTCTGAAATAACTTTCCTTGCATTAAATCCTTGGTCTGCGCCTTTAATATCACTGATAAAACTTTTCTTCGAATCCTTGTGTGTAGAGTGCATCTTAACTTAAATTCTTATTGGAAATAGATTGAGGATGAAAAGGATGATTTACAATTCCTTCACGACACTGTTGTTCCTAAACTCTGCTTTGGCTCAGGTAGTGCTATAGCTTATTTGATAAAAATGCCACATGGGAGAGGGGGAGGGGCAAATATAACATTTCTTTGTTTGTCTGTCATTATGTTTATGGTGTTAGGGATTTTCCGCAAAGGCATTTTTCCAAGGGAGACTTCCCAAGTGATAATTTTCCAAGGGGAAAAATCCCAATCGTGCAATTTCACAAAGGTTAAGCTAGGCCTTCTAAGGCGGCGCAGGCTGCGCTTATGGCTGAACGCTGCGGCTACAATAGACTAGGGGGCCAGGCACTGTAGCTGGAACAGGTTAAGTGGCGAAGCGCTGGTGCTAGGACAGACTTGGGAAGTTACCACTTGGTAATTTCACATTTGGGAAGTTATCTGGCTTTTAGGAAAAAAACTAATTTACACTTATTCTAAGTCACTCTGCTTTTATATATGATATTATTTGATTTATTCTTCTTAATTGATTGATTTCCAGAACCCCTCTGGGCAGAGGTTAAAGTGTGCTGAGCAATATTGTATTGATCTAAACACATATAAAAAACTGGATGTTCCAACAAACCCAACGCAGGTACAGCCGCCATTAAACACTTATGTTGTTAAAGTTTGCTAAAATTTTAAGAACTCTTAAAGCATTGTTTCAGGATAAGTCTTAAAAAACATTATTCTTATTATTATTGTGTTCAATGCTTCTTGCATTGAAAGGGAGCTTGAAATAATAATTACAATAATCATTTTTTTACCTTTTTTCTGATTTTGTATTTTAACATTTTTTTAAAATATACATTTTGACTTTAAAATAACCGTTTTTTTATTATTCATTTGTGAATTTTAATTTTAACAACATTTTTAGACATCTTGTTCGGATTAAACATAAGATTATTTATATATATATATATATATATTGTTTTTATCACGAAACCTCGGGCCAAAAATCCGAGCATGGCCTTTCCACAACTCCTACGGTCAGAAATTAGCTCATATTGTAATACTCATGTTTATCATATACAATCCATTTAAAAAGTAAATCGTATGATAGTATCTTTTGAAATATGATGAGATGAGCATACTAAGAACGAGCAGATAAAAAATTATCATTAATATAAAATAAACATATTATAAACAATTTTAGAATTGTATAACATATTATTCACATTATAATATTTGTGAGTTTGTCCTTTTCAAGGTAAGTGTTGACTTGGACGTGACTCAGATCCTTGAAATTGATGATATCAAATTCACTGTTTCCTTTGCCATGTATTTTGGAGTCAGGTACATAGAGTACCCATTTACAGGCTTGTTTTTTTCTTATTTTTCCTAACAGGGTAAAACATCTTTACATGATAAAAACAAAATGTGCAATTGCATCTTAATATTTTGAAATTTGGTTGATTATAAGAAGCTGTTCAAATGCGCAAATGTGAAAACAGCAGTCATATACTCCATGCACAAACCCACAAACCCACAAAAACATTGATTTTGCTTTGCTGGAAAAAAGTGTTATATAGTACTTTTTGCCTTGTAAGACAGGCATCAGGCTGTGCATTGATTTCATCAACAATCTCTTATTTCAATGGATGGAACCCCCCATCATTGGTCCTAGTAATAGCTCTGTGAATTCATATGTTCCAAACTATTTTAATTAATTTCATCAACAAATTTAGATTTAGATTGCAGTAAAAGTTCTAAGAATTTATATGTTCCCATTATTGATAATGTCATCAAGAGGTTCTTATTTAGATGGTTGGAACCTTGTATGATTGGTCCTAGTAATAACTCTGAGAATGCATATGTTACCATTTATATTATTTTCATCAAGAAGTTCTTATTTAGATGGTTAGAACCCCGTATCATTGGTCCTAGTAATAACTCTGAGAATTCATATGTTCCTAATGATTTTAAGTTCATCAGAAACCTTTGATTTAGATGGTTAGAACCCCGTATCATTGGTCCTAGTAATAGCTCTGAGAATCCGTATGTTCCCATTGATATTAAGTTCATCAATGAGCTGTGGGTTCCTGATGTGTATGTGTACTTTCTTAAACAGATAAACATACTCACTATATTCACTAAATTTGCAGGTAACATATAATTGTAACTTTAATTGTGATTTTGAAATTAATATGGAAGTCATCATTGTTTTATTAATCTCAAGTCTGTTTTAAGGATTTCATCACTTCAAATCAAAATTGTCCATGCAGAAATCTAGTTCAGGTTCTAGTCTAGTGCCATCTCATACAAAAGTTTTGTCCTCAAAACATATTTGAAAACAAATGATTAAATTTTCTAATATTATTGTTCAAAACATCCCACATGGGTTCTGAGCTAAATATTTATTACATATAGTATTCTAGAGATTAAAGTTAACGTACAAGTATTGTAAAAATGGGATAATTATTACTTTCTTTCTTAATGTACTTCATGTCTTTTATGATTTAACAAATAACTCTCAGGCTGAATTTTAAGAATTTAAGCCGCGGCTCAAATAGGGTTGCTTCCATTTTAAATTGTATTTAGTGTTTAGAGATTTGAGCCGGCGCTCTATTGGAACCATTTTTTGGTGGATCAGGGACACTGTTTTAATTATTTAAATTAGGCCTCTGGAATGATTTATTCTAGATATATTATATACAATTAAAGACCATGATTTATTTGATAAGAATTTTTTACACAAAACTGCAACAATTTCTTGTATTCAAAAAAAATATTCACAATACAGCATTTTTGCACATTGATGTAAATCCGTCGTCGTATATATCAATACAATGAAGACGACTTTCTATTTTAATGTCAATTTCTACCAAGCTTTCAAATAGCTTGGATATAGATAAAAATGAAAACAAAGAGAAGCTGTAAATTAACAAATTCTTTTCTTGTTTACTTGTAAACTTATGATTTCAAAAAGGTCGTCTTAATTGTATTGGTATAAACGCTCTGTACACTGTACAGGTTTGTTTGTGGTGAATGGAAATGAGATACTGTACAGCCAGGAAACCCACATCACATTCTGGTGTCCAATGCGCTTTGATAATTTTCCACTTGATAGTCAAATCTGTAAATTTAAGGTATTTCTTTTTTGCTAGCAAAACAAAAATATATGCAACTATAAATAAATTTATCTAACCTAGGCTTTTAGGGCGCTTCGCGCCCATCTTTTATTTCAATTGTGCACAATTTCTCTTTGTATACATTGTAAAACAAAAACAAACAAAAAAGTTCGCGGATTTTATAAAAAAAAATCTTGGACTTTTTTAAATTTAATAAAATCGAATTTTGTTGTAGGCAAATTTTTCAAATTTTGATCATCTTTATACCTTTCCTGGGGTCCCACACAAAATTTGGGCCTAATCGGTTCAGCCTGTTTGACTTTTATTGGAAACAAACAAAGAGACAGACTGACAAGCAAAGTATTACTCTAAATTTCTGCTTACAGATCTTTAAAAAGTTCAATATGTCTCAAATAAATCGGAAAGAATTTTTCCACAACATTGCATACTCAGTTTTACTACCTTGCATAGCCGGTCACTCCCATTAATCCCTTAAATCATTTTAGAGGAATGCTCCCGAGATTCATAGCACAATAGTTCTGAATTAAGGATAGCAAAGCCAACGAATATCTAATTACTTTGATACCAATACTAATATTTGTGTAGGTTGGTAGTTATGCATATGATGAGGCAAAGATGCAGTTTTCTACTTCTCTCCTCTCCTATGATGATACAATACGGAATACAATTCTGGATTACACCGTGGTTCTAAATCCACTAGGGGTAGGGGTAGCATATTCTTTAACACAACATATTTTTATGTGATGCTTTATTTGTAGAGTGGTTTGTCTTATTTTACATTGGTTAAACCTTTAAACCTTTAAACCTATATAAACCTTTAAACCTTTAAACCTTTAAACCTTTAACCCTTTAAACCTTTAAACCTTTAAACCTTTAAACCTTTAAACCTTAAACCTTTAAACCTTTAAACCTTTAAACCTTTAAACCTTTAAACCTTTAAACCTTTAAACAATGAGGAAGTTATTTTCATCTGAAAAAAAGATAAATTGAAGCTATTTCCTTTCTTGTCTTTGTTGCACATATCGACAGGACACGACTGTGAAGAAATTGAAATTAAAAATCGTAAGTTTTAAGCGAGTGAAATAGAAAAAAAACTCGATAATTTTTGTTCAGTGGAAGCCCAAAAGGTCTTGTTCTCAATCAGGATTGCCACTCTATAAATGAAATGTCGACAAACCCTTGAATTGTATTGTATTCAACATTTGGTTATCTCTTAAGAGAACTAGAATTTTATTTAACATGAATAATAATTTAAATCATTATATTTAAACCTGTATATTAATTATTAAAGGAAGATGATAAACTGTTTGTATGGCAAAGTATTGGAAACTATTCACTTGCAGGTACACAACATTAAAAATAAAGGAAATGAGTTATTGCCACAAACTCTGATTTCTTATGTCTTTGCAATCCAATGTCGTAGACTTTATATATTTCTATGAATTCTGTTATATCAATTGTTTTATTAAAATATCAATTAGGTTTACACCATTAGGTTGCAAAAGTATAGGGATTAGACAATTTGAGTTTGTGGCAAAGAATTAATTCCATTAAATAGATTTTTATTTTTTTAATCAGTGATGCAAAAAAAGAATTTATCAGATATTGTACATTTAAAACACTAAAGGGAGTGTTCCCGAAAGTTGAAGTTCACCCGGCCATAGTTGAATTTTAAAAATAGAATTCTGAAGAAAAAAAATTTTGAACAAAGCAAAATATTTTCATATTTTCGCGTTGTACAGAACATTCATTGGAGAATATCTTCTGGTAAATAAAAAATAATTGTTTTTAAAAAATTTTAAATTTTCTTCAGGCTATGAGATGGTGCTTCAACGAAACTCCTTGAAATATCTAGGAAACTATCAATCCAAGATTCATGATTTGTTTAATTAAACTGTTATTTTGCTAAAAAGAAAACTGTTATTGATATGCAGAGATTTATTTTTTCATCAAGGTTTTTCGTTTTAAAACCTCCATAAAACCTTAAAATGTTTATCCTATTGTAAATCTTTAATTTTTCATTTATTTACAGTATTTACAGTATTAACAGTATTTACAGTATTTACAGTATTTACAGTATTTACAGTATTTACAGTATTTACAGTATTTACAGTATTTACAGTATTTACACTATTTACACTATTTACACTATTTACAGTATTTACAGTATTTACCGTATTTACAGTATTTACAGTATTTACAGTATGCTCCATTTTACTCTGAAAATGCCGTTACGATGAACACAACACGGGCAGCCGTAGTACATTTGAATTTCCGAGCCGGGTCAACCTTTCCGGTGCCAGTTTGTACTGTATTGCCCGGACATTGGGTAAATAAAGCAGACGCTCAATAGGTGCAATATGGTTGACGCGGTCAGACTTTAGGTGGAATTTACTTTTGCTAAAGGGTCAGAGGTGCGAAGCAAAGTAAGAAACGAAAAATGCCAATATATTTGTCAAGGTTAAAATTAAGTAAGTTATAAAATGAATAAAATCTCAAACTGCTTAGACCACTGTTCTCTTATGATATAAAAATATATAAATGTTAAAGGAATCTTTGCNCTAAGAAAGATTCCACAATTTATTAGTCAAGAGTGAGAAAAAACTAATATCAAATTTTAAATTAAAAAAGATTGTTTTGTTCAGTTAACTACTATCTGCCATCAGGACTTTTTGTTCTTGTATCCTGGGTAGGTGTATAGTAGACGTCGTATTTATGAATACAATAAAGACGACTTTCGGGTTCAATTCTGATTCTGACGAATCTTTCAATAAACTTGGATACACTTAAACATGGAAACTCAAGATTCTATGGAAATTATAAAAAAGTTTGAAAGCAATCAAAACTAAAATCTTAAAGTCGTCTTCATTGTATTGATATAAACGCTGAACACTGTATTGTGTAAAGGAACTAAGTGCTTGACACAAACTCGATTTTTCCAAACCTTGATTTTTGCATTCTGATGGTATAAACCTTTGATATTGCAAGCTTTTGCTAACAGAAATTCGAATTTGAAAAAGATATAATCATTAGGCTGCAAATGCTTTTAGATATTTAGAATTTTATGTAAAAATGTTGTTCCTTCATTAATTTTTATGATTTTTATTTCTTGGAATTTTATAATTTTCTTATCTTTACTTCTAGGTCAGCTTCTTAATACCTCCTGAAATAGTACCAGGTTAAAACAAAAATTCTAAACAAATAAATCAAATCTACTATAGTATAATTGCAGATCTTAAATTGCTTAAGAACAATTTAGCTAGAAAAATATACTTAAAGATATCCAAATATTTTAATCGTAATGTTGAATACAAAAAATAATTCTACGTCTTAATTCTACAAATCACAAAAATGTCAATGCATACAAACTTGAAAGTTTTCAAAACAAAAACAAAAAGTTTTTTTACCGAAATGATTTGTTCAGGTCGAATGACCCTCCTCGTAACCATCTTCCTTGTGCTGATCAATATCTTTAACAATGTGACATCTAACTCTCCTAATGTGGAAGGACTAACTGCTATTTCAAGTAAGTTGGAAAAGGAGTTTTACAAAAAAATAAAGATGTTTAAAAATCAGAAAATTAGTTTTTAACAGTAATCTTTAATTCAACAAATTCTAATGGGGTTTATATCCCCTCATGGGCTGCAATTTTGTTCGTCCCTTTTGTAATGATTAACGCTATTCTATCGATTACAATTACAGAATAAATCTTCAGGTTTTTGAGATCAATCATTTGCTCCCTCTCTTTAGGGCGTGTACAAATGTCTTTCTCTAGGTCCCCGTACTTTGTTTCATAAACTCCAATAATGTTTGCTCTGTATATGTATTTATATCTCTCTCAGAGTATGAATGATTGTAATTTATCAGCTTATTAGTTTATTTGTCTAAATACATCTGTTTAGGGTTCTTCTTGTTAGAATCAGTTTCTTATGCGTTTGTAGAAGACCACACTTAAGCTAGATGCAGTACGTTATTCCTCTGTCCATCTATAAGGTCCTTGAGTATCTTTAGCTCCTCCAATGCTCCAGCCAATCCAGTCTGTGGTTTAAAGAAATATAGCAGAAGTCAGACAAACCAGAGAAGATCATAAGTTCTGAGCTGCTCCTCAATTGTTGCAATTCTCTGTCTAGTCTTGATATACTTTTGATATGCAATCCTCTCTTTCAGGGAATCCTTGAATTAACTGTTCCAGTTTGGTGTCTGTCTGAGCAGCTACCATGAATCCAGATCTCTTATTTAGCGGCTCTGGATCTCTAAATTTGAAGCTCTCATTTAGATGCTCCTGACCAGGATGTCCCTGAACAGCTTCGTCCATCTCATTTAACTGTACCAGTTCAGGATCTTTTAACTTTAATACTTTGTTCAGCAGCTCAGAAGTAGGATCACCCAAGCAACTTCCTCGGATTTAGATAAACCTTCTAGTTCTATATTTGGACTCGGAGTCCTAGGATTGGAGGATTCAGATATGGATCATCATACATATAATCTCTAAACTCAAATGCTTCGTTCAGCAGTTTGGGAGTAGGATCACCCCAAGCAGCTTCCTCAGATGCAGATATGTCCTCTAGTTTGATATCTGGACTAGGAGTCCTAGGATTGGAGGATTCAGATGAGGATATATCATCCTTTAACCAAGGCAGCCATTCTTCAACTAGAGCTTGTAGCTCATCAACAACATCTTCCATATCTTCTGCTGTTTCATAAAATGCTTTCTCAGTTATCCTAGCTGCTCCTGGAGTTAAAGGATAATCTGAAGTCAGAGATTGAACTGGAGAAGTACCTGGTTCCAGAGTATCTCTTAGGAGTTCTTCTAACTCTGAATCTGAGTCTGAGGTTCCCACAACAAGATGATGGGAGCAGTCTGTAAAGAGCAGTTTTCCATATCTGGATGACAATAGATATCGTCCTCCTCTCCTGGAGTCATTGGTTTATACTGATATTATAGCTGCTCCTGGCCACAAGCAAGATTGAGTTCTTCTATAGAATCCTCTACAGAGTATACAGCAGCTCCTGGTTTACTGGTGAGACAGTCTAGTTTTCCTCTATTTATCATCTTGGTTGTTGTCATTGGGAGAAGTTTCTCTGACTTGTAATTGAGCTAGCTTAACTTTAGTTGGACTTGTTTGTCCTTGCTCTATATCTCCAGTAGCCCTGCTTATAGTACCAGCTCGAGAATATAGAGTATTGTCTGGTACATCTTGGTCCATGGTTGGGCTAGCTAGGACTGTTACAATCGGTGGGTAGACCTGACTGGAGAGTATGAGCATAATCGGTTCAGTTCCTAAAACTGCAGAAGATGTGTCTCTTGGGGATAATGATGAATCTGATGATACATATTCATTTATAAGGATGGGAAAAGATGCTGATGGCCTTCTGTGTTCCCTGGCAGGCATGTTCCAGATTCATCTATATGTTAGCTGTCTGTTAACTGTCTGTTAGCTGTATACAAACGGGAGATTGAACTCTGCGTCTGTAATTTTAAAAGATATGGGGTGCACTTACTGTGTTCTCAGCTGCTTCCTTTGCTGGACTCACAAGAGGTCTGTAAAAAGCTGCTCTACAATGAGCAGCATCTCCGTACTCAGAATCCTCTGGAGAGTATAGAGCAGCCTCTTCACTCTAAAAAATGCAATTTTGGTCTTTAGCATCAGGCATCAAAGTTCTTCTTTCATATTTCAAATTTCTTCTTTCATTACTCAAATTTTAATTTTGACGCATGCTAATTTTTAAACCGCGTAGTGTCGCTGGTTGAATCGACATGAAACAAACTTTGTGAGATGATAATTATATGGAGGCGCGGTGCTCCAACAAATTTTGTTAGATGAAAATTTGAGATTTCTTAGAGTGTTATGTACTGGCAGGGTAATCTAGTCTCCTCTGTATGAACACTCTATCTGCTCCAGAACCAGAACCAGAACCAGCTGGAGAATATATCTTGGTCGGTGTTTGTACCGGCTGGTCTGTTGTTGGATTTGTTTGCCCTGGATATCCTAGTTCTCTTGTACACTCTAAGAAATTTCAAATTTTCATCTAACAAAATTTGTTAGAGCACCGGACTCAAATACACCTTAGTAGAATCATTCGTCAAATTTTGTTGAATGTATTTTCAGTCGCCTTAATTCAAAGTTTGTTACATGATCTATCAACCGGTCTTTGTCCGCTCGCTGTGCTGTGCCTCCATATAATTATCATCTCACAAAGTTTGTTTCATGTCGATTCAACCAGCGACACTGCGCGGTTTAAAAATTAGCATGCGTCAAAATTTGTTGGATGTCCCTTCAACTTACTGCTCAACTATGTAATCATTTGTTATATGATTATTCAGCTTTGAATCTTGACCCGTCAAAAGAGGTTGTTACAGGTGGCGCCACCTATTTTCTCAATATTTGTTTTAACTAGATTCAAAGTTTGTTACATAAATATCCGGCTGTTATGTAAAATTTCAATTTTTTTATACAATTTATTGGTTTTTAAAACGCATAAATCTGCAAAAATGCAATTGATAAAAACAAAAATTTAAACATCATAAGTTTAAGGTTTATCACATTTTTTTATAATACAAATACATGAGGCAGAAATATAAGATCTTAATACAAATCTTTAAAGTAGCGTGCAGCATAAGTTTTGCTGTTTATAATACACTTTATTACAATTCAAAGCTTAAAGAACTGGGCATCAATTGATCACCAATTTAGACAACGTATTTGATTCTTGTAGAAGTAGATTCTGCAGTCTGAATTATGGAAGATTTGGTTTTGCATTGATACTCTCTTTCAAGCAAAGCATTGAAAATGCAAGCATTAGTTTGAGAGAGTGTACAAAGCTTTAAACAAGTTTTAATTTTGTTCTTCCAGTTTCTTGGAGGTTTCCCTTTAAATCTTTTTGATATCTCCAAATGTCCAGATCGAATTGACGTAGGTATAAGCGCTGTCGGCTAACAGACTAAACTGTCACTAATTAGAAAGTCAGCTGATTCTCCCCATCCAGCCAGCCGTGCGAGCCGTGCCAGCGCGGCAGATGGTTCAACGTTTGATTGATCATAAATCAAAATTTGTTTAATCTTACACAAAACTAAAATATCGGCTAATTACAATGAAAGAAAACTGTCACATGACAAAAGAAAGATGTCATATAACAAAGTTTGACACATGCTGAGAGAACAATGTGTAAGCTATTAACAAGTTTTGTTAGATTGTAATTTTGGAAAATATTTAACAAAATTTGAGTAATGAAAGAAGAAATTTGAAATATGAAAGAAGAACTTTGATGCCTGATGCTAAAGACCAAAATTGCATTTTTTAGAGTGTATGTCCTGGAAGTTTTAGCTCTTGTGTGTGTCCTGGGTATCCTAGTTATTGGTTGTGTCCTAGAAGTCTTAGTTATCCTATGTGTCCGGGAAGTCTTAGTTCTCCTGTGTGCCCTGCAACAGATATGTGAAGAGCTGTCTGTAAAGATCAGCATCTCCTGTCCCAAAATTATCTCTTGTTGCTTCTACAACAGATATGTGGAAGGGTGTCTGTAAAGAGCACCATCTCCTGTATCAAGATCATCTTGTTCTTCTATATGCTCCTGGAGTCCTAAGTCTGACTGGATCTTCTAGCTGCTGTAGATATGTGAAGAGCTGTCTGTAAAGATCAGCGTCTCTAATATAAGGATAAGGCAACATCTAATATCTTGGGTATCCTAGTTCTCCTCTGTATCTTGTTGATCCTATAGTTCTTCTCTGTATCCAGGACATCCCAATGGGTTGTTCAGACGGGTTGGTGCAAGAACAATTAATCCAGTTCTAGAAACTAAAGGAGATGAATCTCTTGATGAGACTGAGTGTATCTTGAATCTCCTAGTTCTCTTCTGTATCCTTATGGGTAGTTTAGACAGGCTGGTACAAGAGTAATTGGTCTAGTCCCAGAAACTGAAGGATACAAATCTCTTGATGAGACTGAGGAATCTGAGGATGGACATTCGTAGATAATGATGGGGAAGGAGGCTGATGTCCTCTATAGTTTTCCTATATATCCTAGCTGCTCTATATCTCCAGTGGCCTTGTCAATAGGACCAGCTTGAGAATATAGAGTTTATTCCGTATTTGGACTAGCTTGTCCTAGCTGTCCTAGCTCTTCTGTATCTCCAGTGTCTCTGTTCATAGATCCAGATGGAGAGTAATATCCTGGTCTGTATTGGACTCGCTCCTCCTAGTTTCTGCTCCTGATCAAGTCTACAAACAAGTATGGTTAACCCTTGCGTTTGTCTCTCCTAAACCAGTTGGAGAGTAAAGAGCGTCCTCTGATATCTCAGTGATATTGGGGACTCTGAGGATGTATATTCCAGTATAACAATGAAGAAGGAGGCCAGTGTCCTCCTTAGTTCTTTGGTAGGCATGTTAACGATCTATCTATTAGCTATCTGTTAACTGTCTGTTAGCTGTCTGTCGTGCAAGTCCCCCAGCCTTCATTTACAAATGGGAGATTAAACTCTACGTCTGTATTCAAGAAAGATCTGGGGTGCACTGGCCAATCTCCAGGTTCTATATTTTGCTTTGACTCAGAGAACAGAGAGAGTAAGGGGCGAGGAGAGGAAGTCTTGTATAGAGTAACCAATGCTTTAATTATTGCACTTTTCCAGTAATAATGTTAGCTTTTGATTGCTGATTTTAAAGGCGCCAATTGTTCTCCATTTGTCATAAAGCTAATAATCTTGCGAATGTTTAAAGTATAGATGTTGATTTCTTTTTTAATCTACATTGTCTTCTTGGCAAAATTTTAATTAGAAGCCATCTCATAGGTGAGATGCCAAAAAATAAAATTTGGCCAAAATTGGTTCAAACGTTTTGACAATTATATGAATACAGATACCAAAACCATATTTATAGAAAAATTTAATATATTCAAAAGAACTATTTGCAATGGTTAATTTTTTATTAAAGCAAAGAGGCTGAGGTGCATATTATTGAAACAGCAGCAGATAAAAGAGTGACGTAAATTACTTTATTGTTGTTTTGTGAATTAGATATGGTATTTATTGAATCAAAAGGTACCTTAAAAATATAAACAATCTTTAACTGGGTTCGGCATGAATAATTACCTGTTTATTGTTCACAATGTCCAAAAGATTCATAAAAGTAGTTTTTATCTGTTAACTCGGAGAAAGGTTAGAGATTGCTTACCACCTGCAGATCTGTGTACACCGGATACAAAAAGATGCCGCAATACATAATTGTCTGATGTACTGTATGGCACCATTCAATCTTTACCTAAACAACTGAATTCCTTTGAACCCCAATCTCTCTCCTTATTGCAAAGTCGACGGATTACATCCCTTGGTTAACATCAATTCACAAGATACAAATGCGAAGATATAGTCTATATTGCAGATATTCCCTTTATAGGCTGACTTTTTTGCTCATGTTCTTGTCGTTTTAATAAATTTAACCATTGAGTTTGTGCAATTCACATTTTATAATTCATAATGGACTTTTGAAAAGTGTGCAAAACTATTATTTTAATATTATACCTTGTAATTGGTTTATTTTTACATTTGTTTCACCATTCGTTCTTCGTCCAATAACACTAATAAAACACATATGACATTCATTTCATCATAATCAATATAAAGAAATATATGAACGATCTTTTACTGGTTTCAGCATGGATCATCACCTGTATTTTGTTTGTATTTGGTGCTTTAACTGGATATGCTGCTATACTCTATATCAAGAATAGGCTGACTAAACAAGATTTCGAGAATAATAGGTCAGTAGATCCGTAGGGCCGGAAGGGAGGATTTAGAAAATTAACGAACAGCAAAAACCGTTAGTTTCTTAATCGATAGCTAACGGATATATCCGTTTTTGAACAAAAAATAATGGATGTGTTTTTTGAAAAAGGCGACTTTAGTTCTTTTTTTTCTGCTTATAATTGCATGATACTTGCAGAAAACAAAAGATAACTTTTTTTGTATAGTGACGTTTAAAATTCAGCTTCTTTTGATAATTCCCTTGCTTTTATGTGTTGAATTATAGAGCTTTTTGCATTTTGATGTTTTTTTTCGTGTTTTGATGTTTTTGAATGTTGTCATCAATTATTCAAACTATTTTTACATTATATTATACTTTTTTTAATTAGTTGCCATTAACGCCAGTGATATTATTGTGATCGTTAAAAAACGGGAACTTTTAAGAAATCATTCATCTAGACAACGGACAAATAACTGAAATGTTTCTAATGGTTTCACTAACCGTTAATGAAACTGTTAACAAAACCATTAACGAACCTGTTAACAAAATTTTTAACGAAACCGTTAACAAAACCGTTAACAAAACCATTAACGAAACAGTTAACAAAACCGTTTACGAAACCGTTAACAAAACCGTTAACAAAACAGCTAAGTAGAGGTTAAAACATGTTTTAGAGTTTTAGCTTTTTTATGGTTTATTGTTTGTTTTTATGGTTTCTGACATCATGTTTTTGAATAATATCGAATTATACACTTGATTTCATTTTTATTTTATTTTTTTTTTTGTCTACAACTTTTTTGAATCTATTAAAAAGTTTTCGATCAAATTTTTTTCATAAATTTTTCAATGATTCAATCATTTCTGTTTTGATTTTAACATAGTATTTTTTTCATCAAAATTTTTTAACACTTTCCAATGACGGTGCTATAAAATTGAACCTTGGTATATGTTAAAAGAACATTTTAGTTCTTAATTAAAGTTTTTAGAAACACTCTTATGCTTTCCTGAGTTGTTAATGATTTGAACTCATTTTAGTGTTTTGGACAATAAGAGTTCTGTTCAAAATGATGCAAACTTAAAATTATTGTAATTTTTTTACAGACACCCTGTTTATATGTATTTCTTGTTTGATGCAGGGCTCCCAAGTCTGGGAACTGGCATGGAAATGAATTAACCTACATAGATTCAGCTTTTGTAATCATCTTTCCTCTTCTCTTCGTTATCTTCAACTGCCTATATTGGCCATTGAGGTGATTTTTTAGTTGATAATAATTTAAATTTACAAAAGGATGTGGTTCAAGGGACTAGCTAAGCCTATTTTCAAGTCACCCTCCACACTTAAAAATGTAACTTCACTGAGCAAATAGAAAAATTTGCAAAATATTAAATTTCTATTTTTATAAAATTTACAACAGTACCCCCTTTTATTACCTCTACCTAAGTAACTGTGAAAACATATCCTTGTTTTTCTTTCTAGAAAACTAAAGTGGCAAATTCTGACAATTTTCTATACTTTTACTCTGTTTCATAAATCTGTTAGTCACTTTAAAAAAAAACCACAGTTAAAATTGATCTATTTTGGCTACAAAAGTTTACTTAATACTAGGCTTTTAGGGTGCTTCGCGCCCATCTTTTTTTTCAACTTTTAAGTGTGGCTTTATCTGGAAGCATCTTCTCTTTGTACAGTATAAAAAAGAAATTTTAAAAATTTGCGGTTTTAAAAATATTTTTTTCGCGCATTTTACAAAATTAAATAATTTAAGATAAAAATAAATATTTTAAGATTATATATTTAAAGTCTGATTGACCATAAATCTTCCCTGGGGTCACGTGCGGTCCCACACAAAATTTGAGACTGATCGGTTCAGTTGTTTTGACGTTTATTGGATACAAACAAACAAACAGACAAGATAAATTTATATATAGATTACTCCCTGTAAGTGAAAATTTTAGTTAAATATCATACAAAATTCATAAAATTAAAAAACAATTTCTGATATATATTTGTACTATTGTTTTAAACAAACCATTCATTCATTTATTTTAGTTTGCTACGAGATTAAACTGAAGTTTAAAAAATCAAGTATATAAGAAGCTACATCATTATAAATTAGAAGTTCATCAGTTTTTAGTAAAAATAAAGATTGATACTTCAAATAATTGTTCTTATTTAATAATAATAATTAGAGTTATATTCCAGTATTGAAGACGAAAATCTCTTTTATTGGGTGGGGAGATTTTATCACATTTAGTTGTGGGGAGATTTTATCACATTTAGTTGTTGGGAGATTTTATCACATTTAGTTAATGCTGAGGAAATATGGAGGCACTAAACTGTTATAATTAAAAGCAATCACAAGCATAACTGTCCTGTATGTATATATGAACCTTAACAGAAATAAAAATAAATTAATCAGTGTTCGAATTTTAAGAATTTGAGCCGCGTCTCAAATCCGCCAAAAACCGGTTTCATTAAGCACCGGCTTAAATCTTAAAAAAATTGAATACAATTTTAAGTGAAACTAACCATATTTGAGCCGCGGCTCAAATTCTTTAAATTCAGTCTCAGATTGTATTGGGCTCTGGAAACTAATTATATTCTAACATGGTCGGATCTTTGATGAGCAATTGTTTACTTTTTATTTCAAGGGATTAAGTAATAAATCCATAAAAAAAGCTGATTTTCATTGCCAAAACCAGCAGATTTTCATGTCTTCTCAGTTTCTTGAAATAATTAGTACATTACTTATAAAAAGTATAGTACACTACCATATAAAATGGATAGATCGACCTTAGAAGTATTCTTCATCATAGGTCCGTAGACGGGATACTACTATACATTCACTCCCAGTTCTTAGTTTGAATTAAGTAGCTGGCAAATTACGTTTCATTGAAATGATTAGAAATAACCTCTTTTAGAACCAAACTTTGAAGAATTACCTAAAAATGATCATCCTTAAGTTTTGGTGGTTAAAAACCGAGTGTACAAATAGGATTCATTAGTTATGAAACGTTACAAAAATTTTAAAACACCAAAGTTTAGGAAAAAATTGAAACATATGAAATTCTGTCTAGTGATTTGAATTGTATAGTAGCCCAGTGATAAGGTAGAAGCACATCCAACGGTTTGCCTGAATAAAAACAACTTTAAAATTGGTAGTTTCAAATTTTAATGTGAAATATGTTTTTTCCAAAAAGCAATTGTTTACTTTTTATTTCAAGGGATTAAGTAATAAATCCATAAAAAAAGCTGATTTTCATTGCCAAAACCAGCAGATTTTCATGTCTTCTCAGTTTCTAGCAGAAGAAGCTTCGATCATTTGAATCCTTGATCATCCCACTTAATTATTAATATCTTAAAAAGCTCAAAAGACGAAAAACTATTTTTTACGTACCTTTGTCATTGCCGTTTATGATCTATTAAAAAGTTAATGACATTCTTAATGGCGTCATTACTGAAATTCCAATGTTTATTGAGTCACTCTGTGCTTTAGCAACAATTATTGCTTATAAGTTCAAATTCTTACACTTGTTTTAACTGGATAGCAGCAAACAATAAACATCCGGTAAAATTTTCTTAAAAACTAAGATAAGAAATTCTTAACACTCGTACTTCGACTTAATTAATTACATAGATGCAGACTTCTATCAGAAGTTTCATCAATTCATAAGACTGGGCTCTTTACATCCTAGCTCCCTTGTACTATAGTTTCAGTAGAAGTAAATATTTCCGTTTACTATTAAAGCGCCGAAATAATGATTCATCTCTAATTGGATGATGAGATAGATAGAAAGATAAATGTTACAGCCATACTATTTCTATTGGTTCAGAATAGACCACAAACACATGACTGAACCCTGATTGGATCAGGCGCTAATGGACTCGGCATACAGGAGTGGGCTACCTCTGTGAGGAGAATTAATCAAGAGTGAGCTCTTACTTTTTTTGTAGTCCTTAACATGTACATTTTAGAGCAATGAAGCACTTGTTTTGACTTTCTCTTTTTATTTGGGTGAAACCTTGCAACCGATGGATCACAGCAGCATTCACAGCCTTTTGCCGGAATGGCAAAAAAGATTAGATTGGTTTGGTAAAATTTTGGGAGGAAGAAAACAGAAGGGAGGATGATCTAGATGAAGTTGATATGTATGAAGGTGGGGGTGGTAGCTATACATCTATAACCATTCATCTAACTTTCTCTCTCTTCTCTGCTATCTGGTGGCACTATGATTTATTGTTTATAATCCACGATCACATAGGTAGAACAAACTCGCTTAAAGTAAGCCAATTGCGAGAGGCTTAGTGGGATTTCTTAGCAACACTACATGATGGTGTGTGTTCTTTTTACTGGTCTGGCTTGTACTACTTAAAATCCTGGTTCAATTTCAGGGTAAAAATAGCAAATAACAATTTACAAGATAAAAATACATAGATCTAAATTGAATGATAAATTGATGAAATGATACATCATTAAATTAATAATTCTTGTTTTGGGATATAACCACCCCTAAACCAAGCCAACCATTTAAAACCACGCAGGTAGAGAAAAGATAGAAATCCAAGCTGATGGACATCAACTAAAGAAGAAGTTGGGTTTGGGATTCAATGAATGTGAGGATGTGAAAGGGTTGGTATATCGGGAGTTGGAGTAATTGGGAAGATTGAGTAATGAATAGATGTTCGAGGGGGACCACAGTATTGGAATGAGAATCAGCAAGATATAGAAGTTCAGAACAGAGATACAGATATAATAAAATACGTGTAAAAGACTATGGAGAATATGTAGTTTAGTGGATACAAATGTTAATAACGGGTAAAGACGACATTTTGGAAGGAATTAGTGGATTACTGTTAAGTTGGGATAAGAGAGAGAAAAGAGTATAAAAATCATCATTAGAATCATTCAATACTCTGAAACAGCCTATTGTTAAAATATTTATATTCTACACAATTATGTGTCGAATATATATAGATTAGAAAATTAGACATTTCAGTCATCCTTTAAAACGTGAAAATCATTAGGTCCATATTCTGCAGGCATTTCATGGCCCTAAAGAAAGAAGCTAAAAAAGAGAACTTTGTTTTTTTAATCAAATTAAGTAATTCATATTAATCTCCTGTTCAACGAAATAACCAACCTTAAATTCCCTCCTTTTTTATGATTAAGAGAGTGATAAATGTAAATATAAAATTAAATTAGAGAACTATTTATTTGATAAATCTGTATGGATCACAGAGGGAGGATAAGTAATTATCCTCCCTGTAAATAGGGAGGATAAGTAATTATCCTCCCTGGAATTAAAAAAGGAGGGAATTTAAGGTCGGTTATTTCGTTGAATAGGAACAGGAGATTAAACGATAAATTACTACTTAACCGGGAGTTTTCTCCCGGTTAAGTAGTAATTAATAGTTATTATCGAACGTGATACGAGCCCGACAATAAAATCAAACTATGAAAATACTTTCATTTCTAAAGTATGGTAAATATTTGCTTTTATTTTAATGAAGAAAACTGTGATGTAATTGTTGAAATCAGTAATCCAGAAGCTAAGATTAATGAAGTTATATAATCTTATCTTATAAGTTGAGGGATTGACAAATCTTTGTACAGTTAGAAAATAACCATGATGAGAATAGGAATTTTCCTCCTGTTTCTATCAGGTAAACAGTCATGCTGAGAACAGGAATTTTTCTCCTGTTTATATCAGGTAAACAGTCATGCTTAGAACAGGAACCCTCCTCCTGTTTATATCAGGTAAACAGGCATGTTTAGAACAGGAACCCTCCTCTTGTTTATATCAGGTAAACAGTCATGTTTAGAACAGGAACCCTCCTCCTGTTTTATATCAGGTAAACAGTCATGTTTAGAACAAAAGCCCTCCTCCTGTTTTATATCAGGTACACAGTCATGTTAAGAACAGGAACCCTTCACATGTTTCTATCAAGTAAACAGCTATGTTTGGAACTGAAGCCTTCTGCCTGTTAATATCAGGTAAACAGTCATGTTTAGAAAAGGAACCTTCCTCCTGTTTATATGATGTAAACAGTTATGTTTAGAACAGGAACCCTCCTCNCCCATCCCCTGGCCCCCGAATGGTAAATATGCAATTTCAATAGCTGACCAGGCAATTTGTAGTATTTTAATCTCAGCTCTTGAGTTTCTGTATTTATTCCAGTTGTGTTTGATGTTTGCCATCTAAGCAGGTTTATTGCTGACATTGTTGTATAGTGAGAACTTCCCTTTGTCAGCTGCATTACATGTATCAGTGTCTTGCAGTAATTTAGAAAGAAATATGCAGTCTTAAAAAAGGATAAAATACTATTTTAATGGGGGTATCTGCACATTGTACACTTCCTCTTACTTGATCCCTTTCTATACAATAAAAATACAAACTGAGCTGAAAACTTTAGAATGATATATCCTTATTCCTTAATCCCGACTACTTAATCTGAGTATCCAATGGACACACTTTTGATTTTCTTCTTAAACCGTTCTTTCTTGGATATAGTAGAGAAAAATCAAAAACCGGTTAAAAAAAGAGAGTCCCGCCCGTTTTTGTATAATAATCTTAAATGGCGCGCAAATTTCAAATTTATCGGCTTCAAATACGCGACTCTGATTGGTTGAATTTTATTCACTTCTCAGAATACAAGTACAAGATTAGGTTAGTCTCGATATTAAGAAAAAGAGAGGATCAAGCATTAATCTCGATATACACCATTCTAAAGTTTACAGCTCTGATGTAATTATTAGGTAGTTATGCCTTGATCTATAAAGAGCATGGTTATGAAGACTTGTTGATAACCATATCCCCAGATATACCACCAGACAATGCAGAATCCATAATTGGTAAGTTTAAGGTTTCCTAACCGGGGGTCAGAACTTTTGAAAGCTTGATCTTGATATCAAATGTGGTCCCTTTTAGATCTGATTATAAATGCTTTGTTTCTCAATTTAAGTTATTCCTGCAGGGTATGACCACTACAGGATATTGAAGAGGAATGAAATAAATCGGCGAAAGATGGTTTAGTATTGCTTGAGATTCACAATTCAACAGTTTTGACTTCTGTTACAGGGTGTCCCAATAAGCATGGAAATTCAGTGACGAATCGTCTTTTAAAATAATTCTT